AGGCTGCAAAAGGTAATGATGTGAGTAAAGTCAAAGTAGTTTTCATTTGACCCTCATAGGACAAGTTTTCTTTTCCAATGAGAATTTTAAATTAGCTTATGGAAAAAGAAGAAAATGGACAAATAAATTAGAGATAATCTGAGAATAAGTTTAAAACATACAGGAACCAGTCATATCACTAAGATGTGCAGACTTGTCTTGATATTCATAGCTGCAGCCTCTGCAGACACAGGAATGGCTAAGACTCCTTTCATAAACAACCTGTGAGAGTACACCAGGGCCCAGAGGCACATACCCGAAAAGAAGGGAGAAATGGCTTACATCTCTTCCATGGGTACAGGGTTTGTTTTTTAAGTTTCTATCAAGATTTTTAGAAAATCACTAGGAATTATTTTGTAACGTTTTGTTGGAAATTTTGCTAAATATGACTACATACCTTCATACTTTCTTAAATATCAGGCACAGAATATAATTCAATGCATCCTTGATAACTCAGAGCCACTACCATAAAAGTTAATGAATGTATTAGGCTTTGTGTCATTCTGCATACTTTGTTTCTTTTCTTATTCGCAGGTAGTCACTGAGGCTACCGGTTCCACTTCTTGGCATTTGTTACTTTTGCTCAAAGTTGATGTGAGAATACTGATTTGTAAGACTACTAGATTTGCACAATATTTATGATTCAATAAACTCTAAATAGAAAACATACCAGAACGCAAGCATGGCTTTTTTTCCATAAAGTAAGAGGATTTTGTTGGTGCACTCTGTGGCAGTTATTTCAGCAGTGTCCAGGAACCCTCTAGTGTACATCCTGAGTGACCTAGAGTGTGTATTCAGGATGTCTGAGGGATACAGATGATTGAGAATGACAGACAAGTGGGAGTTATAAAGTATAACATCACAGCTGGGTGCAGTGGTGGCTCACGCCTGTAGTCACAGCACTTTGGGGGGCCGAGGTGGGTGGATTGCCTGATATCAGGCAGTTCGAGACCAACTTGGGCAACATGGTGAAACGCTGTCTCTACTGATATACAAAAAAGCAGTTCGGCATGGCAGTGTGCTCCTGTAATCCCAGCTACTCGGGAGTCTGAGACAGGAGAATCACTTGAACCCAGGAGGCAGAAGTTGCAGTTAGCCGAGATCACGCCATTGTACTCCAGCCTGGGAGATAGAGAGAGACTCCATCTCAAAATAAATAAATAAATAAAGTATAACATCACTGTCCCATGAGGAAAGCTCACAGCATGGTATGAATGAACCAATGTTATGCTATGTAGAAATGTATCATCTTTCTGCACGGTCTTCTTTCTGTGACAATATTAACATTTACACCCAAGAATTTGAATTAATAGATAACTTCCTTACTTGAGAGAATAACATTTTTTTGTTGTTGTTGCTTGCAGGCTTTAAGCCTCAACAAACTCGATAAATTCTTATTCTATATAGCCTTTGATCTGAACCAACTCTTCCAATTATTTAAAAAGCATGTGTGATTATGGAGTGAAGTGTGACCATCCAACAATCAAAACCCTTATTTGTTGTTTAAGTTTCTTCTATCCAAAGTCCTGATATTTGTGACTCATGAGCAAAAAAGGTGTTGCATTGGGTAAGTTTGGTTTCCAATGTTAATAACAGAAAGATTGGTGGCAAAGAAAATGTAACACATTAAGCAGAAATATTAATCATCATAACCGGATTCTGGTTCCATGAGCCAGAATGAATAACCTGATAAGGAGGAAAGCGGTCACATCTCACCTCCTGCTGGAGACACAGTGCATTGCAGCTGAGGTCAGATGGACCTGGGTTAGAGTCTCAGTACCACTACTCACTAGTGGGAAACATTTAAAAAACAATACTTAGCCTCTTTGAACTCCAGTGTCTTCATTTGTAAAAAGTACAAAAAGACCTACCTTACAGAACTGTAGCATTGCTATGAAGATTTACATAGATACAATGCCTGACACCTTCCTTTCACCTTTTCCCTCCTCCTAGTAATAACCATTTAGCTGCTGCTTCTTGATGGCTCCATAGATTACACAGATTCTCGCCTTGGTCTTCTGTGTCCTCGGGTGCTGGGCACTTGAAGGTACTCATTAAGCATTTGCTGTGTTCCAGTATTGACATGTCAGTGACAATTCCTTTTGGATTTGTAATCACTCTTAATAAACTGAGCAGCAGAATCTCCTGGTATATTTCACTTATTATATCAAGAGCCTTTGCTGGCTGGGTAAACAGCAGAGCACAGATCTGGGCTCTGGAGAGTTACAAAAGAGGGACAAAACACCAAACACCATCTCTACCTTCAAGGGGCTTATAAATAAATGGAAAAAAGAAGTCACATGAAAAAAATATGTAACTCTACACACACCAGAAGGCAAGAGGATCCAGACGGAAAGCTGAGTCCAGGGTGAGAATGTAGGGTAGGATTCAAGGGTGAGCATAGAGAAGGTGGTTTCTGGATTATCATGAAGCAGTCATTGTCTGAACTGTGTACCATGCTTAGGTTTCTTTAACAGTCTCAGGCTTGCTGTGGACACTGTGCTTTTCAAAACACTTTTTTTTTTCAACTACAACTATATACATAAATATGTGCAATATATATATATAATCTCCATATATAAGGGAATGCACTACATAAAAGTAATTACAATAAAGCTATTGTGTCTGGAGTTACTTGTTAGGTGTCTAAGGAGTATACTTGAGCCTGTTTCATTTCTACCCTAATACAAATTTATGCATCACTCACGAAAACTTAGTTTTGTCATCTGAGAGTCATCCTGGAAGGGAAATTCCTAAGGAGACGATTCCACTGTTTCCCTACTATATTCTCTACTGTGCTGCTCTATTAATCATTTCAAAATTCATTACTCAAAACTCTTAATGGGTAAAATTCCAACTATTCTAGGATAGAATTTAACATTATTTGTAATGTCTCTGACTTGTGTTTCTATCTTTTCCTACAAGTCTTCACTACCCTTCTAACACTCCACCATATTGGGCTGTTTGCTGGGTTCCAAATATGCCATACATAAAATATGCCAGGCTCTAGTTATGCCATATAGCTTTACTTTTAAATTTCATCTTTATTTCAATACTGACATAGGTTTGAGAATCTTTGCAGTTCCGGTGTTGCTGGAAAAGGGGTCCTGATCCAGACCCCAAAAATGGGTCCTTGGATCTTGCAAAGGAAAGAATTCAAGGAAAGCCACGGCATAGTGGAAGAAGCAAGTTTTTCAGAAACTGCTTCGTTACAGTGTGGGGTATCCTCAGGAAGCAAAAGGAGGAATGCCCTGTCCTTTGTTAGCGCCTCCACTTTTATAAGGAGTTACAAAGAGCTACAATGAAACTTGGAATATGCCTACATGCTCACTGAAGGCAGGGGCCTTCGGTGTGATTGATATTACATAACACTTAATCTTTTAACCTAAGCTTGCTCATTAATGTTACCTCTAAGTAAAGAGGGCTGAATTCTTAGGACATTGGGACATTCTGCAGGCATGGTGGTAGATGCTCTGTATGGTCATAAGTATTCTGTAATAATAGGTTGTAGCCAGCTTGGAAAGTGGCTGTTTTCAGACCAGAAACATTAACCTTATAGGTGCCTTAAGAGCATTCTAGCTCTTCACTTCAAGATGGAATCATTCTGGTCATACTTCGTTAGACCAGAGGCCTAGTGGGCAGGGGTTCCTTCGATATCTGAAGTATATTTCCTTCCCCATTTCCATTCTAATTCATGTGCTACCTCTTCTATAATGTTTTCCTCAAACTCTGCCCTATTCAAAAAATGGCTTTACTCATATGACCAACTCAGCACATGTCACATTATTTATAGCTATGTATCCACCCTGTCCTTAGAAGCAAGGATCATAGTTCTATTTCAAAGTTCCAGCAGAAATGATAGTATCCAGTACACCAACAGGAACTAAATTGGTGTGACAGTTGTATCAGTTAGCCACAGCTTTCCACAGAGAACATTAAAGGGGATCTCTAAAGTAAAAGTATTACCAGTAATCTTTGATTATTAGGCCTCTTCAAGGGGACTAACTATAATTAGCCTCTCAATGTAGACATTTAGAGAGAACCATCATATTATCCAAATGACTCTCATAAAACTTTCAAATGCCTGTAATCTCATTTCATTTCATTTCATTTCATTATGTGAATATATGAGATAGATACTAATATTTTAGAAAAATTAGAACGCAATCTTGCAATGATAATAATATAGACAAGTGCCCAGGAGCAAATAGGCTAAAGTTAAGCCAAAACAGAGGTAGGTCAGTGCCATAGAAAACAGAGTAAGTCACAATTTTAAAAGTCAAAAATCTTAAAAGATCTAGGAATCATGTTGAAATTCAAGTTGCTTTTGGATCATTAATGGACAGTTTCTATCAAACTCTGGGTTTAAACTATACCAAGGAGACATTCAGATTATATATTTCTATATTATATTATACAGGAAAAAACTTCCCAATATTGTAGGCTGTGAAACAGGAGCAATTACAAAGTAAACTCAGTAGTCAAGAGAAAAATACCAAGCAGTAGGTTAGATAGAATTCTGAATGCAATTATCTCCACAACACACTGCCAGATGGCTCCAAAAGAATAATGGTCCCATCTGACTTTTGTAAGAAACAGGGAGGAGACAAATTTTAGGAAATGCTTTCCCCATGGAAGTTAAAAACAGAAGTCTAAATAGAGTTCTAATAATGAGGAATACTACTAACGACCTTGGAGGTTTTTCCTAACATAAGAAACAATGTCATCTGCACCCATTTCTGGAAAAATGAGTAAATATATCCTAATATAGTTCTCATAATCTTCTGTTCATAAAGTTCAAATTGTTTACTCTTGAAACATACTCTTAAATTGTTTATATCACTAAGAGTTCTTAGCTTTGGGGGTGCCTAAATTTAAATATTATATTCAAACAATCAAAATGTTTTACACTGATTTACTAATTAAAACAAAGAAAAAAGACAAGACACTTTGTATCACAATTTAAAATGTGCAAGGAAATTAGTTAGGATAAATATTTATTTCCACATAACATTTCTTAATTGTGAAAAACACAATATCCTAGTCACATTTACACATTACTTAAACTTTTTGCTAAATTACATTCAAGATATTCAGTAATTTTGACCAGGAATCTGAAATTAGAAGTAAATATATAATACTACATTTTTCTTATATTTTATATGATTTCAAAATATTAGGATTAACATAGGGATAGCTTTAAAATTCACACAAGAACAAAATGACTATAAAAATACTCAGAAATACAGAATTTCATTGGATATGATTGCTTATTCAAATAGGTGATCATGTGAAGATTTAAATTCACTATGATCATTTTCAACAGAACAGTTATTAATATATTAAAACACTAAGAGACTGCTTTGGGGAATCACTGGCTAAATCATAAAACAATGAAAATGTTTACAATGTTGTATCTGTATTATAAAATACACAAAGGCAACACATTTGGAACAGAAAGTTTCTGTATTTTTTCAGCACTTATAAATACGAACTTTATTAACTTAAAATTCTTCTTTCTATAAATTTTAGGCTCATGTTCCATAAAAAGGGGGGCTCCTTAAAGAATTGTGAGGGGAATTTTTAAAAGGTATCAAAATGTAGAACTTAAAGGAGGCTTTGTTGATTTTATTTCGTCTCATTAGTTTAATCACAAGAGGAACTTTTCCTCACTTTTCATGTGCACTTCCAAGCAGAGTACATAATTAACAGTCTGTAAAAGCCACAGGGCTCTGAATTATTGTAACGGAATATTGGAGTATTATAAAGTTGATGATTACTGCTCATTCTTAGGAAGCAAGAGCATTATGAGATTTAGTTTTATTAACTTCACATTCATTGAAAGTGAAATGAAATACTGTATTTTAGTAATGTCCAAAACTTCTTTACTTTCTCTCCCCTTATATAAGTTTAGTAAAGATGTATTATTTTATATGGACTGAAATATCTACAGAACCTTCTCAAATAGAATCTGAAATTTTCTTTTAAAAGACTGTTTTTCCACAACATGCATTTAATTTAAAAGTGGAAAAAAAACTGCAGAAAAAAATGACAATTGGACACCTGTTGTTCTAACATGAGAACATGATTCAGGACCAGCATTAAGCAGTGCATGACCATTAGCCGCAGAGTAACTGTACAGGAGTGGAATTTCACATACAATGATTCACCATGTGGCATTCCACAAGTATATGTTTATTTGGAAAACATCTGTTGTCAGTGGGAGACAAACTTAGCATATTTCTGATAAAGGTTTATATTGAAAAATCCCACAAAACCATTACAAAGTTTTTCTAAAGCATTTCGTACAAGCCTAGTATTTGATCATTAGTCACAACTTGAATTTTAAGCAAATACTACTTAACTCTGCATTATGTCTGATTCTCCTTAACAAGTTGTAAATAGGTTTCTATATAGTTTTTCAAGTGACTTTAAGTTTTAGTTACATATAAATTGTTAAGTATTAAATGTATCATATTAAATCAAGGAAATGCATAAATACAATTATTAAAAAATGCTTTCAAACTAACTTTTTGATTTGGGTCTTTTGAAATAAGTCACTAACACTAAGCTATAAAAACTAAAAAGAAGTAAGACAACCTTTCAAAAATTATTCTGAATGAAATTATCAGGCATCTTCAGGTCACTAAAGTAGGAAAATACAAACTAGGTAAATATGACTTATCTCTTTAAGGAAGCTATTGCTCTCATAAAACTGACAATCAGAATCCAGTTTACAAATGTCTAAGGTACAGCAAGGAACACACAGATTCTTGCCTTGGCTATTGTATCTGCTCGCAGGGGTGTCTCACTGCTCAGAAGTTTAAACACAGAAATGAAACAAGTATTGCACTACTTACAGTGTGAAGGTGGATTTGGGTTGAGGGACAGAATTTACACTACATGATCAAAGCAGTTTTATTAATAATTGTGACACTCTTCTCATATATATGTAAAAAATAAATTGAAGATCGAGTCATAGACAAGTCTCCCTGTCAACACCTTTCCCTGAGTCAGCTTTCTTCTCTTTTCGGCTTTCAGTGCTACAGAAGGAAAAAAAGGAGACATTTATTACTGCAATCCAGCATGGCTACAATGAGATCTGCTTGCTCAGACTTAAAACCCGTCAACCCCAAAGCACCACAAGAGCCCTTAGGCATTGCTCTCTCATGCTGCGAAGCACAGATAGACAGCAACAATTAAAATCCTCTGCACTCAGTGAGATAGAAACCAAGAACTGCAGAGAAGGGGATATTCAAAAACAGACAATAAACAACAAAAATCAGACATTTTTTAAACAGTTCCAGAAACATGCAAGATTAATACCATGGTCCTCATTTGGGCAAGTGACTCACTGATGATTGTTGGAAATGTCAGCCATGCCCCCAACTTAAGACAGCGCCAACTCTAGTAAATGACACAAACAAGATGTCGCAGGAGGCATTTCTGGGCTCTGCTGCAAATGGCTCCTCTCTTGTGCATGGACTGGATCTTGACCTTTGATGAAGACTGTACCTTGACCAGGTTAGACAGACAGCTCCACTGGCCTGGAGGACAGGGTACCATGCATGCTGCTCTCCAGACACCTGTGCTATCTTTTTACAGACAAATCTTTTCCCTGTACATCAGAGGAATGATGCTTCTCATGAAACTCATTCATTCTCAGATAAACTCATTCCCAAATGCCTTCTGTTTAATCTCACCCTCTCATTAACTTTACCAATGAGCAAACTGGTCATGTGACTCTACCATTTTTGTCTATTTGTCTATTTGGTTTTTCCATTGTATAGTTTTCTTACTCTCATGCTGACAGTTTTCATGGAAAATTCAAATAATGTCATTACAGGGATGAAGTTCACACCATGTTCCAGAGAAGGCAGAAATGCTTTCTCCCTGATACTTGCAGCGCACAGCAAAACCCTCCTCATCTGAGGCTTCTATGTGACCCTCCCCACTGCTGACACAAAGGGCAGCCCATAGCCAGCTACTAAGGCCCTGGGCTGGAAAAATCCATACATTTTTACTATTAACTTCGGCCCTTAATATAAATTTATGAAACACTTGATAATGGGCCGCACCCTTGGTTTTATAACTCTTCTCCAAGTAATAAAGTAATAAAACTCCATTTTTCTATTGGGACTCCTGTGCAGCTTTCTAAGTGGTCAATAACTTAGACACATTCTAAGAGTATGTTTTTTAAATTGTTTTTCCTCCAATTCAAGCTAGAAACAGCCCTTCTCAGTTGTCACCACCACCCGGCACCATCAGGTAAGAAGTGCCGGAGCTTCTGCCATCTGTGGCACGCTGCCAGCTCTGAGAGCTGGTGTGAGCGCGTGTCTATGGCGCCCGGGTTTCTGCCTGCCACACTTCTCAGCACATACTACTTACAGGTCAGAGCAAAGCAACTCTTCTCCCTTTTCTTTTCTCCTTCCATGAGAAAAGATGACAGTGTGCACATGATGTGTTGAGAGCCTTAACTCGTATTTTTAACTCCTCTATCTGTATGACTCACTTTCTTCTACTTTAAGTTCCTTTTATATGACAAGTGTCTGCTCTCCTGCTTTCCAAATTAACTTTTCCTTAAGCTCTACCTGCCTTCCAGTCTCTTCTGCCAAACAAAGTCAATGAAAAAGGGCAGCACTGGGCTGGGTGTTGGAAGATCTAGGTTCAGTTTTCAGAAGCTCAGAATGAGCTGCATGACCTTGGACTAGTTTTTTAATCTCTCTGAGACTTGGTTTCTTCATCTGTAAAACTGGTTTTGGACTAGATGGCTTCTAGGTTCTCTTGTAGTGTGAATTCCAGAATTCCGAGGCCGGTATTCCCAATTCCAATGAGCTCTTATTTTTTTGAAAGATAGAATAACAGATCCTATCTGTAGGAGATTATAGGACAGAAACATACTGGTCTCTATACATGTGCAATTATTGTGTGCACAATACTTTGAAACGTAGGAGGTGTTCCATAACCTTTTGATAAATGAATGTGTTCCAAGTGGCACTATTAGTCACCAAGCCATAAATAAAAATATTCATAATATCAATTTGATCCACAGATGTGCTTCCTCCTGATTCCTTGCTTTGGTTGGTTGGTTACAAAACGATAACCTATTAAAAGACTGGGTTTTTTTTTTTTCCCTCTTCATCATAACCATAGTTTTGGTATCAGATTAGATTTCACAAACTATGAAGCAGAAATTTTATAACCAGCTCAAGACCTCTAGGATCTATTGTTCTGAATTACTTGTTACGTTCACTTTTGTGGAGGTCAATCAATTTTAAGCTTTCATTGTAACAGGCATGTATTATGCATCTGTTATCTGTCATCGTAATAAACATACATTGCATATCTATTATATGCCAGGAACTCCACAATGACCTAGGAATACAAGATAGATAAGAGTGTCCCTGCCTTTGAGGAGTTAAAATTTAAAATATAAGGAAGTAATATTTTAAGAGAGGGCAAAAAGTGGCCTGGTGCTAAGTAAACTATGAAACTATTACTTTTTAACGTCACTAAAATAGTGGTTTTTTGTTTGTTTTTGTTTTGTTTGTTTGTTTTTGAGACAGAGTTTTGCTCTGTTGCCCAGGTTGGAGTGCAGTGGCACAATCTTGGCTCACTGCAACCTCCGCCTCACAGATTCAAGTGATTCTCCTGCCTTCGCCTCCTGCGTAGGTGGGATTACAGGTGTGCACCACCATACCCAACTAATTTTTGTATTTTTAGTAGAGATGGGGTTTCACCATGTTGGTCAGGCTGGTCTTCAACTCCTGAGCTCAAGTGATCCGCTAGCCTCGGCCTCCCAAAGTGCTGAGATTATGGGTGTGGGCCACCATACCCAGCCTAAAGTCGTTTTTATGAATAATATTTCCAAGAAGTCATGAGAGAGCCCAAGCCTAGGCAATCATTGCAAAGAAAGAGAATCTGGGATAGAAAAAGGTGGTGGGGGAGTGCAGGAGTGGGTGTTGGGGGGTAGAGCAGATAGTCCCAGAGACTAGCCTCTGTCACCAAGGCAAAGCTAAGTGCTGCTTTTCCTCACATTGCCAAGGACCTTCTCCAGACACACTGATCTTGGGTATGGGTTTTATCAAATGGATCAGTTGTTAACCTGTTCTGATGCAATGTGGTCGTTAATGAGCCCTATTTTCACCAGCACATTTAATACGCTGCAGAGGCTCTTGTCACACGTATGTATGACATCAGGATCAAAATTAGACATCCTCCAGATAAGACAGAATTTGCAGTTAGTTCTTAGATTCTACTGTCAGTTAAACTAGATAAAATATTTTTGACAACAAAAAGTGAATGATATAATTGAGAAAATATAACTTGGACTCAAAATTCCATGAAAACAGGTTTCTAGGCTTCTCTGACACATATTATAGCACAGGATGGAAAATAACTCAGAACGGGGGGTGTCAAAGGTTGCATGGATGCCAGCTCAGGACTCAGGAGATACAGACCCTAGTAACCTGCTCTTTGGGCCTCTTTTTGCCAATGGATACTCTACCAGTTACTCTACTAAAATTACTCTACTAAATTTTCACAGCTCCTGGTCATGATGTTTTAAAGCCTTTAACAGATACCATGAAAAGGAAGTGGCTTTGGGAGCCTTATTAGTATCAGTGGTTTTAGAATTCTGTAAGTCATACACTTTCTGCCAGAGTTTCTACTGTAATGAGGATAAAAGAGATTAACTACCTACCAAGGATGTTTCTCACATGGAAAACCACAAATGCGATCACATCAAAACGTAAGGAAAGATGGATAAACTTTCATTCTACAATAGTTTGAACCTCACATTAGTGAAAATACATTTAAATAATAAGAAACAAGTAGTTCCATCTAAAGATAAAGGATAGTCTATTGAAAATTGGACCTCCTTTAAAGCACATTATATTGTTCACTAGAGTCAACCCATTGTGTAAAGTCATCTAGATACATATTTTTAAAACAAAAAGATTTTTCTGGTGAAGAGTATCAATTGACTTTAAGGAGTAGTTAAAATATCATGTCACAAGACTTTTGCTAGAACCAAAGAAAAATAGAGGAAAAGTTTGGACTTGAATCCATGTAATACAGGAAGAAAAAATTTTACAGGTTTGATTGTTTCAAATTCTCCACATATTGACCATCAAGGGCATTTTATTTTGAGCTCATAAGCCTGGATTTAACATTTTTTTTTTAATCAGAGAAATGTCATATTTTTCACGTAACAAGTACACATTGCAATGGGCTTGAGAAACTGCCCTTCTCATAATTCTGATTTTCTTCAAAAGTACTAGCAAAACAGAGAATTACTATGAGAAATATTTATCAGAACTATAGCAAGGATCTTTGAGAAAGGAAGTTATAGCATGTTTTAGAATAAAATGTTACTTTGTCCTGAGCCAAGCAAAGAAATACATGAAAGCTTTAAAGTCCTATTAAGACAGAAAACACCAACCAAAAAAGTCTTTGAGAGGGAGCCCATTGAGTTATTTATTAATATATTATCTTCATTTGTAGTAAATATTAAAGGTGGTTGAGAGAGAGAGACAGAGAGAGAGAGAACTAATTCCCAGCTTCTGGGATGAAGAGTCTATACACCTGCTGTTTGTCTTGTCTTGTTCATACTGTTTGGTATAGAGATGACACTGAAGCAGCATGCCATTTTGGGGTGACAAAAACCAGCAATAAGAGATATATTCTTCAAGTCTAATGTAGCCTCTTTCTCTTGCCCCTGTTTCCAGTGATGTCTCATGAAGTGAGATACAGCTTGCCAGTTTGGAGGCATGGTGGTACATAATGGAGGCTCTCAGCTTTGTAATTTCTCTCTCTCTTTTTTTTTTTTTTTTTTTTTTTGACAGAGTCTCTATTGCCCAGGCTGGAGTCAGTGGCACAATCTCAGCTCACTGAAACCTCTGCCTCCTGGGCTCAAGCGATCCTCCTGCCTCAGCCTCCCAAATAGCTGGGATTACAGGCATCCACCATCATGCCTGGCTATTTTTTTTTTTTTTTTTTTTTTTTGTATTTTTAGTACAGAGGAGATTTCACCATGTTGGCCAAGCTTGTCTTGAACTCCTGACCTCAAGTGATCCGCCCACCTTGACATCCCAAAATGCTGGGATTACAGGTATGAGCCACTGCACCCAGTGAGCTTTTCAATCTCTTAAAGGGACAAATTTAATTTTCCCTATCCATAAATTTGATGCCATTACTAACTATAGTTCTGTGAAACTTTTTGATTATACATGATGCATCTGTATAAATCAAGGAAAGAATAAAGTTTATTCAAGTTTCAGACTAACTTAAAGAGCTGAGTCATTACAGAAATACCATCAAACTTAATCTGCTACTGGATCTGAGCCCAACACTCTCCATGCCTTTTGCCTCCCCAAAACTCACACAGAGGACATAGACCGACCAGGTTTCTAGAAGACACCATTTAACATAAGGAAATGCAACCAAGGAATAGGTTTGAGGGAGAGGGTCTTACCTTTGGGGAATCAGCTTCTAGAGTGATTAGGAAGGGGAGCTTATGACAAAAATGTAATATAAAAATTAAGTAGAAAAAGTTAATTTAAGGTTACAGAAATAAAGGAACTTAATAATTATAGTAAACACTGCCCCAAATCCCTCAATCACTCTCTAACAAAAAGAGATATTAGCAAAACATACGAATTCCTTTTTCTTCAGATCAGCATCTAAGAAGACTGGGTGATTTGAACTCTTATTTATAAATCCTGGAAAACTCAGCTGGAAATCCTATGATGACTGTTGATATTTAGGGACACACTCTTCCCCCAGCATGCACTTAAAACTACCATCCACAACTGCAGGAGTTGTTTGTACGTTTACATACAGAGAAGTAAGAATGGATAGAACTTTTAGGAGTTGAAAGTTTTGGGATAAGAAGTTTAGGGAAGACTTTTCAGGGGGTTGGAATCAGGACTAGGGCTACACTAAATATAAACATTTATGCATATTTATAAAATATAAATATAAAAACACACACAATGCATATCAGTCTAAAAAAGGGAAAATAAGGGAGTGCAAAATGTGGCCAGACATCTAAAGGGGTCCTGGGGGAAGTGAGTGATGAGGGAATAAAATAAAATCATACTGAAAAATAGTAGGCCAAGATGAATGTCCAAAAATGTCATGCATTGTGACTCATTTCTAGCACAGTTCCCCCACCACAGTAATAGCTTTGGAGTAAGTTATTAATTTGAAAAGGAGATGTTGAAAAACATACCAACATTTGAAATAATTACAATTTATACCCACTTTCAGAAACAATTTTCTGGAATATTTTAGATCTAAATTTGATGGAAACCAATATTATTCTTTTGCTTATGGTTTATGTCAAAAAACAACTGGAATTAGTATAAATTCTTATTATTTTAAAATCCAAACCTTTTAGAAGGAAAGCTTGACTCCTTATCTTTTGAGTTATCGGCAGTAATCAGAAGGTTCCTCCACAAGGCAGTCTTTGACATTTCATCAGATATATTGATCACAGATGGATCATCTCTAGACAGGAGTTTCCCCAAATGAAATAATAAGCATTACATAGTAACTGAGGTTTTTCAATGACAGAAACTAAATATAAGAAAATCATGTATCTATGAAGAGCATTTTTCCCAATTTTTAAATTGTGGTAAAATACACACAACATAAAATGTACTACCTTAACTATTTTTAAAAGTACATTTGAGGGTTATTAAATACATTCATAATGTTGTGCAACCATCACCACCGTCCATTTCCAGAACTCTTTTTATCCTATAAAACTGGAACTCCGTACCCACTAAACCATAACTCTCCATTTTCTCTTCCTTCCAGTCCCTGGCAACCACCATTCCACTTTCTGTCTCTAGGTTTCTGACTTCTCTAAGTGCCTCATATAAGCAGAATCATACAGTATGTGTCTTTTTGTGACTGGCTTATTTCATTTAGTATAATATCCTCAAGGTTCATCCATGTTGTAGCATATGTCAGAATTTCCTCCTTTTTAAACCTGGATAATGTTCCATTGTATGTATATGCCCCAATTTGTTTATTGTACAGTATTTTTGATAATTAAAAATGAAGAAGTATTGAATATTTCTCTTAATTATTGAAAACAATCTGTGAAAAATAAAAAAATCTAAAGAAAATATGCTAGTTGTATGGATACTGATTTGGCCTGTGGTATTCTTAATCCATTTCAAATTACAGAGAATGGGTTCCACATGTCCATTGCTTAAACTCTTGCCCCTAACATCATAAAGTCCAGATTACTTCCCTCCTTTGCTCAGACCTTGCAGTGGCTCCCAGTCACTCAGAGTCAATGCCAAGTCCTTATAATGGCCTAAAGGCTCTGTCCCCACCTCACTCTGATTTCACCTCCTGCCACTGCACCCCTGCTCATTCCTTTCCAGCACCAATGCAGTAGCCTCCTGACTGTTCAGGAACACAATGGGCATGGTGCTCCCTGGGGGCCTTGTCCTTGCTCTTCCCTCTGCTCATCATGTCCCTTCACATGGAGCAACTCTGTCTCTTCTTTGTTCAAATGCCACCTTTTCATATGACCTTGATTGGTGATAGGTCACAAGAGAGGAACAAATGCAACTTTTAAGAGGAGCAAAACCTTGGGTCTCCCTCTCTTGCCCAATCTGGAAATGTGTTCTTCAGTTCCTCTAAACCCTCCAACTGTTTCGGTCTTCATAGAAAGACAGTTTTCTGGTAATTCAAAGCATCAGACTGACTACTTTCTTAAAAAAAGCATCAAGTGGAATAGACATTTTTCATGATATTATGTGAGGAAGAGTCTTCTGAGCAAAAGATTTTAAAAAATACTTGATTGAAGCTATACAATTTTTTTAAATGCAGCACTACTTAGATTGTTTCATATGCTAATATGCATTGTGAATCTTCAAACTGGAGTGCAGTTTGGAACATTTTTTTCAAATTTATTTAACCACACAGCCCTTTTGAGAGTGGTACCACGTGAGACTAGGTTTGTATTGAATACCTAGTTGGAAATATGCTGGTTCAACTAAACAATCAACAGGATTTTAAAATTTAAATGTTGTAAAAAAGAAAAAAAAAGGTAAAACATCTTATACTTGTGCTCCCTCTTAAGTGGGAGATGATTATTTTTTTTAAATTCTAGGGAATATGATTTTAGAGTCAAACCCTAAAGATCTAGAACATTCTCTCCTATTTTGGTTTTTAACACTATGACAAATTCCCTTCTCAGAAAAAGTCTCTGCATTTTTATTGGCATAACCTGAAATTATTCATAAAGACTTTGAGACTGTAAAATTGGGCACTAATTGATACTTAGAATTGTACAAGAAAACTATTTAAACTAAACTATATTGAGAGGGAGACAGAGAAGAGAGGGAGAGGGGAGAATTTTGGGCCAAATGTTTGCAAATGTTTTCTCTATAACTTCAGTAGTTTGCTTTCTTTTGCTATGTCTTTGTACATAAAGATTAGCAAATTTTGGAGAATTGCATAAATATTTCCTAAAATGACTGATATGACGGAATCATTTAACTTAAGAAATAGATTATCTTTTTGGAAATTCCTTTTTTTAGGGGCAAATTCCCAGAGTTAAAACATTTAATTGTGATCAACTTAGTGAATACCTAGGTCATTTATACCAGAAATGACCCTTGATCTGTCTTCTGGTGCTACTTTCTGAGAAATTGAAAGGGATCTTCCATACACATTATAAAACAGGAGAAAGAAAGACTTCAGACAACAGCTTCCTGCTTCACTTCATGTAATGCGATTTGATTATAGTCACACAGCTATTATTGGCAAAACTTAGTAGTAGGACCCAGGTTATCTAACTCTTAGTTCTTTCTACTCTAATACAAATTCAAGAAACCTCTCTGAGGATCTACACAGTATGAAATTCTTAAATAAATTATATAACAATGCATTACTTAAATTGATGTGTTTTTAAATTTATGTCTTACCTATAGTGTCCTTCCAATGGGAGTTGTACTGTGCCCTCATCTTCCATAGCTAGCATACTTTGTTCTTCCTGAAAAGACAAATGTAAAGTATATAAAGTGAACCTGATGAGTCTCCATTTCACATTAAAGAAGAAACACAGATTAATGTTTCATTATCTCATTAACCTCAAGACCTTCCACTCTGTTTGCATTTATTAATGTTAGCATAGGTCCTTTCAATAAAGTATCAGCTACCAAGAACATAAGTAATTAATGAGAGTCTCATAACACAAAGTAATTTAAATGCTAACAACAATCTCCTTCATGTCACTCAATAAAAAACATGTTAATTTCTAAGCATACTTTTAAAAAATTAATCTAATTTTCATAAGAAAAAAGTATGGGTGATATAATCAGTTTTACTGTTATAAAGGTGAAATTATATTCCTGGAATGTTCTATGAGGAGGGGATGAGGGATGTACTCAGAACAGTGGTTCTCAAACTTCAGTTTACATCGGAATTCCCTGGTGGACTTGTTAGCAATATTCCCCAGAAGATCTGACTCCATAAGTCTGGAGTATAGAGGGCATAAGAAGTTCTAGTTCTAACAAGTTTCCAGGTGATGTTGATTATGCTGGTCTGGTGACCATATTTAAAGAACCACTACTCTAGAGAGTTGGAAGAGACAGTAAAAGATATTAATATCTTCCTGTATGGATCAAAACACAGATGTGTCTTGAGAGAGGAGGAAATGGAAGGTTTGACTCCATTTGGATGTGTTTTAGGCTTTTGTTTTACACTTCAACTTTCTTCTTATAATGACAATATTCCATCTTTCCTCAAAGGGTGGAAATGATTTTTATATTCATACATGCATTTCTTCATACATAGCATTTTAAAACTAAATCTTTGGGATGAAGATAATCTTATGGCTACCATATCGAAAAATTCTGGTTTCTTTTTCAAATAATGTTATCATCAAAATTTTTCCATGAACCAAAAAAAGACAGTTATTCATAGATTATAGCTTTTATTTAATACATTTATTTAAAAATGCGTCAGTTCAAATAATTACTTCAGGCCATTTAAAATGTTAGAACTACTGGTTCTAACTCCAGAAATGGAATTTTAAGATCTATAAACATAAAAACGAGTTGACCCACTGCCCAAATGAGAACTGATGAAAGAAAATAGGGATGACCCCAAAGGCTCATTTCCTCTTTCAGTAGCTTAGCAGAGCTAAGCCGGCCTGAACCAGCTTCCAGAGACACCTTGATCTTTGGCTGATTTTATTATTACCGGCATGCAAGACTTTTCCTAGTGTCCTTGGTAATCAGACCTTGACCCCCTCTTGGATATCCCATAGTATGAATATTCCATGCCATATTTCTTGTTACCTAAAGAAACAAGTGTTTTCTAGTGCCTCTTCCACTAACCTATGAACATACAATGCAATGTGGGAGCAGATCTCATTTCTCTCTTGGAGTACTCTCCCATGCTGGTCAAGGAAAGCCCCTCTCTCCTGGGACTTTGGCTGTGGTGCATATGGAGTCTCTATGCCCGCTCTATGCTTCGGGATAATGGAGATGCCAGAGACCGCATGAGCTCTGCTACTTCCATGCTTAGAAGCTTTCCCCAGAAACCCTATGTTGTATTTGTTCTCTGTGAAGCTAATGGCATGTGCATTACCCTTTTGCATTCTGGTAACTAATTTTATTTTTTCTCTTTGCTGTTCTTCAAGGAGAAAGTTTTCTTTTAGGGCCTATCAAATGTATTCTACTTGTATATTGTGCCTATTCTCCTTGTCATTTGGCCACACTATCAGAACTAAGTCAAGGTGAATGGAGATTACCATTGGTTTGAAATCATCCATTCAGGCATTTTAGCAGAGCTGATCTGCAGCCTAGATTGAGGCTTGCCTTACAAGTGAGTTAGTCATAATATATGAAATGTATTACATACATAATATATCTTGTAGGCACATCCTGGCAGTCATGGGCAGAGCATATGTATCATTTCAGGTAGAAAAAGTTCCTTTTTCTATAGCAAAGGTTATCTTAAGGTACATGGAGGGACATAAAAAGTAGACACTCAGTGATACCAAAGGCTACATAAGCAAAGACAAGATGCAATTCTTTCCTTGGTTGCCCACTGAAAGGTGAAGCCTGGTATATGATAACATTTCTGGCTAATCAAGAGTAAAATGTCAAGAAGCAAGGTAGAATGGTTTAAGAAAGAGTAAAATGCAAAAAAAGCTGAAGAGAAGAACAGTGCTGTTGGTGCTTAGGTTACCTGGCAGCAGAAAACAAATGTTCAAGATTCAATCTAACAGCAAAAAATTGGACCAAAGCTTTGGGAACAATTTTGGTTTTTCTTCAGATGATTTTCCACTTTTCTCTCAAATTGCTTTCAATAATTATTTTGCACTCTGTGGCTTGTTAGCATGTGTGGGCTTTATACTAGTCATAATTCTATCCAAACAAAAACTCATCACCTCTAAAGATAGCTTTTCCAAGCCATGCTTATCTGAAGAGAAGGGTGGCAGAGCAGCCGCTGCCTTCAGTGCCAGAAGGAAGCTGGGTGGGCCCCGGAGCGCGGGGATGGAGGGCCGGCTGCATCCCGGCAGCACTGTGAGAAAGCCAAAAATTGAGGCTTTCTGAGGAGGAGCAGTCAAATCAGGCAGTAGCCGTCACGACAGCCACAACCTAGGTTATCTCAATCAGATCAGAAAAGAAAGAGACAGTGAGAGCACAAAGCTAACTGAGTAGTTGACAGCTTAGAAGTCAGAAAAGTACCTTAAAACAAGTTCCATTCAGCTCTTAATTGTTCTCTGTGAAGCTACAACATGGGGAAGATGTTAAGGGGATGATGATGAAAGTTTACCCAAGAACCTTTGAGAGAGTTCACCAATTTAACTAGGGGGGTGTTTATGCTATGATTTAAATGTCACCTTTTAATTAAGATAGCCAAAGCAGTTTTCAGATATAAAATAAGTGAAGGACAATTAATGCTACGTCCAGTACAGGGCAAGAAAACTGAGGCTTAGAAAAACAAGTCTACTCCAGAACACTCAAATATTTGTTGAGCATATATTATGTGCTATGCACATAGCTAACAAGAATAATCATCCAGTGGCTACTAATCCATTCAAGGGCAGGTAATCTGTTAGGTACTGGGTGTATAACAATGAAAAGAAAGCTATAAACTCGACTCTCAGAAAATTTAAGGGATCATTATGAAAAATACCAAAGTCAAGGTTGTAGCAAGGAAGAAACTCTAGGTGGGAGGAAACAATGTAGGCCAACCCTAAAAGTGAGGAATAAATAAGATGTGTTTGCATGACAGTGAACAACGAGCCTGGTTGGAGCCAAAAGTCTGTGCTGAGTAGAGGCGGAAGAGATAAATTGAAGTCAAATCCTGGTGTGGTTTGATAATCGGGTGTTATGTATCGAATTACATCATGAATTTGAATTGTATTTAGTGATAGCATTAAAATTATGATTCATATATCACGATACCTAACAAATAACAAAGATAGTTATCCTTTAATTACCTTTAGTGAAATAGGTTACATTTACAGCTACATCCATTTTCAGACACAGTGTGTATCTATGTAGGAGCCCTCAAATATTTTAAAGTACAAACAACGGCAGCAGAGACCAATATTCACAAGTATGCTTAGAGTGTTAGAGAGGGAAAATATTCAGCAATTTTAGAATTCACATCCTAAGAAATGGAAGATTCTTCAGAAGTTAAGCTCAACCCTTTTATTTTGCCCAAGAGTAAAACAAAGTCTACAGAACATAGAAGTGTCAAACCATTTTCTTCCTCAGCTACTAATAGAATAGACAATGCTGCAAACATTACATAAACATATAATCTTTGAAAACCTCAAGTATTATTTTTATAACAGGTATTACTTATGATTTCCAATGGATAGAAGAGCCAATACATAAGACTAACAATGAAAGTGGAAAAGGAAAAATGGAGGGCCCATATAGAGTTCATATCAATACATAAATGTGACATATATTTTTCATCAGAATATTTGATTCTGTCTCTCTAAGTAATTACGTAAATTACTGTTAAGTAAAAAATTCTGATAGAGTATTCTTGTATTTAGAAGATTATATTTGATTCTGTGGTTTTAGGAAAGGACTTATCTCAAACTTTAGCACCAGAATCACCTGGAGGTCTTATTAACAGAGATGGTTGGCCCCATCCCCAGAGTTTTGATTTAATAGGTTTGCAGTAACGCCCAAGAATTTGCATTCTAGGTTGCCAGGTGTTGGCTGATGTGGCAGTGGTTCTGGAACCACACTTTGGGCAACCACTGCTTATGGAAGAAGAATATGCTTGCCCCACCCTAAGATTCAATTAGAAATGGCATTTCTCTGTGTAATAATTTGGCCATGCTTTCCATATCCATAACCAATTCTGATCTATCTTAGCAGTAAGACATCCTCTGTAATTTGTTTGGTTGCACTTGTTTTCTATTGCTTTTATGTTTTCTTGGCCTTTTTCATGATCCTGCATTGGGATCACAGGTTCCCATTTGCCCTTTTCTTGTTTTCCCCTATAGTGTATATGTTAGAGTGAACCCCCAGTAAATCAAGAAGTATCACTATCATGATCACTTCCACAGAGTAGAATTTCTAGGATTTATCCAACACTAACCCTCTTTCCTCCTACCCAGGAGCAAACATTCTGCTGGGATTTTCTGCCTTTAACAGTAAGTAGCCTTTTGTCAAATGTGTACAATGGCCTAGAGAATATTTAAGTAGGAAGGAAGGCATGTTGGTACTCTGAGCACATTTGGACATCCAGAATTTGATTCTGCAGTCTTCCCTTTACACAGAGCAATGTGCAAAATGTCAGGGTTCCAATATTCATTTCTACCCTGATTATAATCCTTTCTTTCTAAAAACTGAAGCATATGCATATGCATATGCATGAAGTACATGAAAATTTGGAACAGAAGCTCTGCGACCTTGGACTGGCCTGTGTAGCTATTTATTCTGCTTAACTCATTATTGAATTTTAAGGTCAAATGAATGTTTTCTCAGTGCCATAAGACCAGAAATGGGCTACTGATAGGAAAACCCTGGAGGCTAAAGGTACAAGCTTGTATCTATCATCAAAAGGACAAGAGGTGAGCCTACTTTAAATTCAAGTCTCAGGGAGCTGAGACATTTCTGCTATTTACCATCTTGCCAGTTCATGATCAAAGTTACTCAATTAATTTGAGCAATTGCAGAAATGCAACATTTCTGGAGAACTTGTCCATTTACCACCTTAACACACAATCTCCTAGAAGACTGGGCCTTAGTATAAGATGCCACGGTAAGATCACATCCTCCCACCGAGTCTGTAAGCCTCAAGAAAATAGAATACCAAGATCTGGGCAAACAAGTAGAATATCAACCAGGAATTGAACTTTTAGTATAGTTCTTCCTAAATCTTCCTACCGTCTTTACTGACTATACTCTTTGAATACTAATTCTAAGCAAGAAAGTGAACCTCTTTAAACTTCCTTTTTTCTCTCCTGTTCGATGAAGAATTAGCTGTCTTTGCACTAGTCAGAGCTGTATTTTATTGTTCAATTATAGATTATTTCTTGACTGTATTATTGGTTTTCTTGTTTCTTTCCACGTACTGAGGATCACATGAAAGTATCATCATATTAATCCATTTGAGATTTTAAAGATCTATAAACCTGCCTAGTTAATGTACTATGAAGCTTTTCCCTCTAACTTGGATATGAAGGATTTAGCAGTAAAATTGCCCAGTAAATCTTTAATCTATTTTTGTGTCTTTTCAGAAAGCATGAGTTCTAGGAAATTTAGTAATATTTAGTTACTTCTAAAATCTTTATCTTCATAATCAGAGTACAGTAAATGCCCATTAAAGTACAGTGGGTATATAACATAAAAACATTAGACACTGATTACATATGTTCTCTGCCCTATGAGATTCATAAATTCCAAAATGGGCATATGGCACACACACATATAAGTACCATACATGCATAGCTATGTGAGTGGTTCTGGGAAGTGGGAATGGCAAATTCTAATAAATTCACAATTATTATTAAGCTTGTTCTCTCCTATTTCACAGAAGAATAAAAGGAGAATCCGAAATTTTCTTTGAATTACAATCAGAAAAATATTAAACATTACATAATAGATTACATATCATTTTTCATTTTGTGAACTTCTAAAAGGCAAGAATGTTTCATGGTATGAGTATGATCTAAGGAGAATACTGTGAAAGAGATGATTATATGTCTGGGGCTGTGTTCTTTTTTTTTCCAGAAGCAATAAAAACAGTTAACAAAAAAAGCAGAAAAATGAAGCAAAATTACATATGTAAGTTACTGTTTGAGTATAATTAATAGTACAGTAAGTGCTCACATAAAGTTGTTGATAGCTTCTTGGAGACTGTGACATTAAGTAAAGTAAAGAACAAATAAAATCAATTTTACCATAGGCTAATTGATATAAACAAGAGTTAAATTCCTATGGCAATTTCTGGTGACAAAAACATCACCAAACTTCTAACTAAAGACCCAAAATATTTTTAATATTAAACATTGAAATAAATGTGAGCTATACAAACATGTAAGAAAAATTAATAAAAGCACGTAAGATATTGAATTAACAAATTTCTGGTGAGTCAGTGAATGACTGAGGTCATAGTGGGGATGGATCAAATCAAGGAATAAATGTTTGCAAAGTGAAAATTGTAAGGAGCACAACCTACCACCAAGCACTTCAAAAACAATAGCAACATGGCTGTGTTCACTGAGCATTTTCATACCAAATTGTTTTTGTACATTTGTGTGATTATCGTATACTTGATGAATTTTTATTTTACAGTCATTTATATTCATTTATTCATTCCTTTTCCAACTCACTTATTCCAGTTCAAGGTCGAGGGTGGCTGGAGCCTATCTTGGCGGCTCAGGGTACAAGATGAGAACTAAGACTGGCCAAGACGTTATTCCCTCGCAGCACACACACACACACACACCCACATTCACTCACACTGAGCCAATGTAGGCACGCCAATGAACCTAATGGGCACATTTTGGGGATGTGGGAGGAAACTGAAGTGTCCAGAGAAAACCCACACAGATATGAGGAGAATGTGCAAACTCCATACAGACAGTGGCCCTGGCCAGGGATTTTTTTTTTTTTTCATCAACATTATTAAAAATGCTGTATTATTCAAGGGTCTGCTGTACTGACATTATCAAAAAGACTGGAAGGGAAGCTCATAGCCAAGAGCTTTTTCATCAAAATTAAATTAATTTAAACCTTCTTGGGTATTGTGTTTGATGTCAATAATTTTATTTACATCAAATATGGATAATTTAAGGTTTTAGTATTTCTGTGTTCTAGTGTCCATTTTATTTAAATTTAACTCGTGCCAAATTATACTATATTTTTTCTTGAAGAGTATCTGAGGATGAAAGCAAACATTTACTAAAGCCCTAAAAAGAAATAGAGACTATCAAAATATCCTAGTCAAAGTTGTTTTTTTTGAGACGGAGTCTCGCTCTGTCACCAGGCTTACTTCTGCCTCCAGTTCAAGTGATTCTCCTGCCTCAGTCCCCTGAGTAGCTGAGACTACAGGTGTGCGCCACCATGCCCAGCTAATTTTCATATTTTTAGTGGACATGGGGTTTCACCATGTTGGGTCTTATCTCCTGAGCTCGTGATCTGACTGCCTCAGCCTCCCAAACTGCTGGCATTACAGGCATAAGCCACCGCATCTGACTCAAAGTATTATTTTTTTTAAAAAAGCACTAATATCTAAATAAGAATATATCAAATAGAAAAAAGTAATAACAATTGTATAATATGATCTTTAGTGTTAACATTAATATTACTAGAAGTATGATTCTAAGTATTGCCGTCTACAATATTTGGAAAAATTGAAATATTCTTACAGAATTAAGACACATCATCATGATGATGAATCTATCTGTGGGAATCCATTGTCAGTGATAGAACACCATGTAGAGTAAGGGAATTACCAATCACACATTACGTAGCCATATTGGTAGAAATTTCTGAGAAAAAAACCTCATTTGATTTATGGCCTGATCTGACCTCACTAAATGACTAAGACCTCCGAAACATCTGCAAATGAATTTCCCAAAGGAAATAGGAGATATATCTATGGTTTGAGCAAATAGAAAGTTGATACATTTACTGACTACTTATAGAGAAAAATAGCGTAATTCTCATTGAATATTTTATTTCAATTTCATTTCTATTTACGTGAAAATTTTGTTGTGTTTTACATTGTATGGGCTCTTATTTTCCCCTCATTTACACTCTTTGTAATTTTTATATACTTAAAAAAATGTTGATTAAGTAGCTTTCAAAATAGACTCAGGCTTAGATATAAACTTTAAATATGCCATGAAACTTAAAATACATTGTTATACCATATAAAATAGAATAAAATAAATAAGTAACCTGTAAAAATAATTAAATTCCAGAAGTTTCTCCAACATCTACTCAATCTTAAATCACTTCAAAAGCAAATCAGATCAACATTTTTCCTAGTAAACATTTCACCTATTTCAAGAATAAATAATTCTTCATTAGAATATTTTGATTAAAACTCTGTTCCCTAGGAAAATGCCAACAGTAATAATGTCTCTTCTTTTTGTTCTCACATATGTAACAACAAAACAATGACTGCACGATCATAATTTGGAAATAGTTAAGTATCAGCAAGTTTCTGCCATCCATGGGGGAGGAATCAGAAAAATGAGCCTTACAATTTGGAGGGTTAGTACAAGGTATTTCTCTATTTCATTAGGGTTTGGTTTCCTCCTGTAAGATCTTCGTTCTCTGTCTGTTCACATCTTTATGATTTTAAACATTAAACTTCCAAACTAGTCTACTTGTGGTTATTAGTGATCACTGTCTAAAGACACAACTGTATAAAGATAAAAACAATAATTTAGTTTTGCAAAGAAATATTACTATGTTCCTTTTTTCTTTCTTTACAAAACATTGATTTTGCTCTTACTTCTTTTTCAGCATCTTCCAGTTTCTTTTTCTTACTCTCGGGCATTAAATCATCCAACCAACTGAGTTCCCGCTTCGTGAACAACAAGTCCATCAACTTTCTTACAAATACCAGGGCTAACACCTGAAGTAAATAACAAACTAGTTTAAAGTGGAAAAAAAATTAAAGCGAGTGGTGTAGATTTGCCGGTATGGTTTCTGGTAGAAACAATTTCTATTAGGCCTGAGATTAAAGTGAAAATTAAAGAGATATATATGTATAAAACATTATCTAGTCTTCTACATCCCCAAAATAATGACTATGATTTTACCCAATATGAGAGTCAATTAAATAAGCTATTTAAAAAATACATATAAAATGAATTTGACTGTTTCCTTAAATACATGTAGTTAATAGTTTATACTATATTAAATTAACACTAGAACATTCTTATCTATATTAATAATTACAAAATTATTTAGTCATTCAAATTCACTATAGTTTTTGAAGTATTTGAAACTTGCCTGAAACATTTAATACAATGTTATTTTTAAAATCCTCCTAATTTTTCACATTTGCTAGTATCTTTAATGTTAAATTTTGGAAGGATGCATTTTTCCATCCAACGTCAATTAATTCAGACAACCACAAACATTCAGAGTGATAGAGACAAAAATAAGAATCACTGAAATTCATAGGCATTCTCAAACTTTTAGTGCCAAAAGTTATATTTTCCAATAATTGTTCAAAATGACTCAGTTGTTCCAATTTCAGTTCATGTGTTTGTTTCCAAAGAGACCAGCAAATCAGAGAAAGAGAAAAAGAGTTGACAGAAGTTTCATACCATCATGGGAAAGACAATAGCAGCTCTTGAAACTTTTATTATCCACAAAAGGCCAAGGCAACTCATCTGAATAATCGTGAAGAGATGCACTTTTCGAAGTGGTACATGCCTTAGGTATATAAAATCTGGTTGATGTTTTGCAGGCATCCAGAAGAGCTTTATCCTATCAAAGAACTAAAAGATTAAACAGACTAAATTGTTTTTAGGTGTAAGACAACAATAAAAGTAGGACAAGTTGATGTTTAATACGGTTCAAAATTTTAGGTTAAATGACATACCTGGATAACACTAAGTTGATACCTGGGCATCAGGACAATGGGATTGTTACGCTTACCCTCTGAAACACTACAATTTCAGTTTAATAATAGCCCACATTTTCTTGAATATGGAGACGGGTTACAATTTAGAAGAGTTTAAAAATAGAAAGCCAATGTTAAATATTGCTACCTTGAAGAGTGGAGCCCTGTGAAGCAAAACATAACTACCATCTTCTTTTTCCTTGCCACATCACAAACTCTTTCTTTATGTGCCCCTCAGTATTGGGATTCCTGGACTTGCATTCTCTGTCTTCTTTTCTCCTGGAATAGTTCATCCATACCCATGGCTTTGACCTTCACATACTTGCTAATGATTCACAGACCTACATCTCTGCCTTAGCTCTCTCTTGGGTTCTAGACCCTTATCCAGCTGCTAAGTATGGTATTTTAACCTCCTTATTTTGACTCTGCTGTTTTGACTTTGCCCGTTTAATCCCCAACAAAAGTTTAGATGCTGTCTTTATGAACACAAACATCTTAACCATAAAAATTTAACCTAAATAAATTTTTGTTAATAAAGTATGTTCCAGAGCAAATTTTGTTAACTCTATTTTTTCTTGATTCACTTTATATGCAGCACTGTCATTTGTATATTTTCAGTTGTATTTTATTAAAATAACTTTCATCTCAATCAATGTTATTTCTGTTTCAATCTTGCCATAAAGATAGTACATAGTATTACATAAAACTATTGTTATAGTACTGCATACTATTATGTTACAGCTTTGACTTTGAGGGCTTTTTTTTAATCAAGCAAACCAATTTTTCTCAATTTGAATTTTATAAATTAAATGCACACAGGAAGGTTAAATCTTTAATCACATTTTATTTACTAACGAATCATACTACATGATAGTTTTATTTTATGTAGATTGTTTGGTTTATTGTTCTTCGGACAAGTTTTGCAGTTTTCAGTGTTTCCAACTAGAGGCGATTATTTAGAAAATAATGGTTTCAATCACTGTCAGTCACTGTTTTATTTCATGCCATCTCTACAGTAACATCCATTACACATTTTCCAAAAGTAATACTAGATTTTATTTTTTAGCTAATTTATTTTAAAAACTGTAGGCAATTCTCATCAAATATGTCAAATTAATATGCAAAGGAACAGTTGTCCATTGAGTCAAAATGTTAGAGTCAAAACACCTTGTTTTACCAGGACCTGCTTGTATATATAGTAAGAATCTCAAACTCAACATAAACCTATCTTCCCTTCTGTGTTCTGTGTCTTATGGCATGACACGGCCTTCCTTCCCTCAGTTATCTAAATAAGAATCGTGCATACATTAGTTCATTCCCCGACCATTCATTTATTCATATTCATTTATATATTCCAAAAATATTATTGAAACATTATATGCAGACTACTAAGTGCTGAACTCATTCCTGACTAATCTCTCTCCATTCTGTCCATGTATGTGTCATTAGGTTTTAAAATTTCTATTTCCTAAATATCATTTAAACTTAAAAGTCATTAAATAAACAAAAACTTGGTGCACGGTAGAGGTAGGAATAGGAAAGAAGTAAAATAAAATCTTCTGGCTTACAATGGAATATTTCCTTTTCTATAGAACTAGTTTTTCCCAGCCACCATTTCTCCATTTGTGAAGCTATGTTATTGCATAAGTGTACTTCAGTGTGTGGGTGCTTCAATTGTTATTGTTTAAATGGCACATTTGCTTTACTTTGGATTCCTGAAGTGTTGGAATGAATATAGATGTGGGTATATATCTGAATACAGAAACAGCATTCATGAGAACACTGTGATCTGTTTTTTCTGCCATGTTTCACAGTGAGAAGCTCAGATAATAAGTTTCTTAATATTGCCAAACAAGCAGGTAACATAGATTCCTTCAATAGGGTAAGAGAGTAACATGCTCCTGGAACTGTTGATATTCAGTATATGTTTAAATAAGAACCATCATCATGACAAATGTATTCTGAGTTTTACATTTGGTTTTTATTACATCCTAGAATCAATATCACATTTCCCCACCCAGTTAGCTACAATTCCAAATAGGAATTTCAACTTCCTGGGCTTGGGGTCACTTACATTTTCACAAACCCTGTTTCTCAGTGTGAGACCCTGTTCGTCAACGTGTGCCCCAGCTTGCTATTTCATCTGTGTTCTTTAAAACCCATTATATTTAACTCATGGGCCTTTGATAATGTTTTCTTCAATTTTCATTTAAAAGATTCACATCCCAAATAACTCCAAAACTTGACATTCTTGTTTAATTCTAAACCTCATGGGTATAAAATCATGTGGAATTAGAGGGAAAAATCTGTTGAAACCTATCACCAAAATGATTTTACTTTGTTTCTTAAACTTCTGCTGCTGTATTTGTGTGAGCCTGGGGCCTAATAATAAATACTTTTCACTTACAGATGAGATTAGTACTCATGGAACTTTTGCCAAAGGCAAAAAAAAAAAAAAAAAGGAAAAAAGAAAAACAAATATAACAAAACCTCTTCAGTATTCTTCTCTAATGCCTTACAAAACCAATTCTATCAAACTATACTTTTCATATATGAAATTTTAAATGAGCAAATTAAATCTAATTTGAGTAAAATTAAAACACATAACATGGCTCAACCATCTCCCTCTCCCAGTTAATTGTTTCCCAGTGTCAGGATGAAGAGTCAGTCATACTATCAATTTTGGGTGTTCCGTGACCTGCAATGACTTCATACTTAAGTTTGCCTCAGACTGGCACCCAGTACCATCTTAAGGCCTAAGTGCTGCTGCTTCTTCCAAAGTCACAAGCTGGTTAGTTATTTGCTCAGGAACAGAGATCCTGCGCTGCCTGTCCTGCAGGTTAACTATCCTCTTACATGCTATGAACAGCAGTGAGTCTAGCTGTGTCACAGAAAAAGCCGCAATTTATTTTTGCTTTTCAGTTGACAAAATACTATATGATAAATAAGCCTCTAGTCTCTTTTTCAAGAACATTGGAGTGTTGGGCTAAATAATGTTAAATTATAAAACAAGATTATTCAAGGGACAATTTAAGTAGAAATCTATTAGTTTGCTAGGACCGTCCTAAAAAATTACCACAACTTGGTGGCTTAAATCAATGGAAATATATTCTTTCACACTTGTGGAGGCCAGAAGCCTAAAGCAAGATATTGGCAGGGCCACACTCCCTTTGAAGGTCTTAGGGGAGAAAAGTTCCTTGCGCCTTCCAGCTCCAGGTGGCTCCTGGCACCCTTGATTAATGGCAGCAAAACTCTAATCTCTTTCTCCCTTTTTTTTTTTTTTTTTTTTTGTGAGACAGTCTCCCTCTGTCGTCTAGGCTGGAGTGCAGTAGCATGCTGGGTTGAAGTGATTCTCCTATCTCAACCTCCTGAGTAGTTGGGATTGCAGGCATGCGCCACCACACCCATATAATTTTTGTATTTTTAGTAGAGACTAGGTTTCGCTGTGTTGGTCAGGCTGGTCTCAAACTCCTGACCTCAGGTGATCCACCCACTTTGGCCTCCCAAAGTGCTGGGATTAGAAGTGTGAGCCAACTATGCCCTGCCTTCCTACATCTTCATATGGCCTTCTTCCCTGTGTCTCTCTGTGTCTTCTCCTCTTCTTTTTTTTTTTTTTTGAGACAGAGTCTTGCTCTGTTGCTCAGGCTGGAATGCAGTGGTGTGATTTCCGCTCACTGCAACCTCCGCCTCCTGGGTTCAAGCAATTTTCCTGCTTCAGCCTCCCGAGTGGCTAGGACTATAGGCATCTGCCACCACGTCCAGCTAATTTTTATGTTTCCAGTAGAGATGGGGTTTCACCAGGTTGGCCAGGATGGTCTTGATCTCTTGACCTCATGATCTGCCCACCTTGGCTTACCAAAGTGCTGGGATTACAGGCGTGAGCCACACCACACCTAACCCCTCTCCTCTTCTTATAAGGACCACAGTCATTAGATTTAGGGCCCACCCTAAAACCATGATTATCTTGTCTTCAAATCCGTATCTAATTACATAGGCAAATAGTCTATTTCCAAATAAGGTCACATTTTGAGACGCCAGGTGGACATCAATTTTCAGGAAACACACACTATTCAACTAATAACAGTATCATAAAAGAAATATGTGGGAAGAATTTGCCTACAGCTTCTGTAAACATTTAGAATACACTTGTGGAGGTTCTAAAATGTGTCCACAAATTCTTTGATACTCTTCTCTTCAAGAGATAGAGTCTCCCTTTTCCTTTCACTTGGGTGCAAGCTGGACTTAGCGGATAGTCTCTAACAAATAGAAAACGTGGAAATGACCATGTATGACTTTGAAGACTAAATAAAAAAGCACTTTTCATCCTTTCTCTCTCATTCTCTTCTCCTTCTTTCTCCTCTCTCTCTTTCTCGCTCTCTTTCTTTCTCTCTCTCTCTCTTTCATATTGCTCACTCTGAAGGAGTTACATTCCATGTTTTGAAGACACACTAAGTATTCCATGGAGAGGCTACTGTGGCAAAAGACTGAGTCATCCTACCAACAGGTAAAAAGGAACTGATGCCCTCATGCCCACAGTTGTGGAATAGACATTTTGGAAGCAGATCCTCCAGCACTATCAAACCTTCAGATGCTGTGGACCTTGTCCACACCCTGACAGTGACCACATGGGACATCTTGAACCAGAACCATCTGACTGATCTGTTGCCAAATTCATGCCTAAAATATTTATTTAACCAATACTTACTTAAATAATGTACAAAGTTCCCCTTATACTTGAAACTGCCTATATCTTTATTTTAGTCTAATTTAAAAAATAATCCTATAAATATAACAGTAAAACAAACAACACAAGGTGTAAAAACCCCAGGATATCACTATCTCAACAAATCGTTTTTATTTCTACACCTTCCTTTACAACCCATCTCAAACTCATGGCTTTATAAACCTATGGTCAGTATTTTCTTACTGTGTATTATGTCGTAAGCATTTTTGCCATGTTACTTTTGTAGTTCCTAAAAGTACATTGGAACTTTAACTGATACAAAATTATTAATTTTCAGTGAATATACCATAGGTTACTTAATTATTTTATTGCTGTTAGAGAATTGAGTTGTTTCCAATATTATAACAGTATGTGTTAAAATGAACATCTTTGTACATAAAGATTTTTCCTATTCTTACCAATAGATATGCATACACAAGATTAAAGTGTCAAATATTATAAATATTTGGATATGTATTGAAATATATTACTATGATTTTTCTAAAAATGCTGTAAAATCTAAGCCTCTTACAGTTTTAACATACTTACGATAAATAAAATACCATAAGTTTATGAACCTTAGATGCTGGAGAGTATCTTCTTTAACTTTTGTAACTCTTCAAACAAGTTTTGAAGAAAAACAAGTTTGAAGAAATTTAATTGTGGTCTAAAAGCTGTTCCTCAGGTGGCATCATTTTCTTAGCTGTCACATGACTTATCAGTAGATCTTAAGATAAGTCATCACAGATGTGCCTGTAGTACTGTAAGTAATTTACCTGAATTCCCTTTAGAGATGAAGCACCCATATAAAGAAACACTCCATATAGCACTGGCATGGGAATAAACTGTAAAAGAACAATTGGAGAAAAGGTACAAATCATTTTCAAATACATTGTGGTTTTGCATTTATCAAAGAAAAAAATGGAGAAAAAAGGCATTTTTGAGTAGAAACAGTATAGTACAGATTCAGAAGACATAGATTCAAGTTCCAGCACTAGCACTTTTTAGCTGTGTAACCTTAGGGAAGTTACTTAAGCTCTCTGTGCCTTAGTTTCCCAATATCTAAAAGGAGATGATAACAATAGGGCTGTTATAATTATTTAATAAGTCAAAATCTATTTTTAAAAACCATGTAGTATATAATGAACAATAATACTATTATTATGCCACTTTAGAGACAATTTGAATTTTGTTTTACAAAGATAAGATATTTGGATTAAAGGTAAAGAAGGAAGCTAACATTTAGATGTGTTTCCTGCATTATGCCAGGTATTTGTAAATATATGGATTACTCAGATTTTCTCTTTTTTTTGGAATAGTTCACCATCATCTTATGTCTATAAGATAATTACTTACATAACATAATTACTTACATAATTCTTGCAAAGGTACTTGTGTTAATGATCAAATACTAGTAAACTAGTAAATGATTAAATAATTTAATTAAAATGTCAAATTATTGGCAAATAAAATGTGCTGTAATTTATAGCACAATTAACACACCTTGGAAATATCTGACAAAATTACATGACAAAATAATTACAAGTTAATCCCCTTTAAAATAGATTTCAAGTTTTCTGTGGAAAAAAAATCAGTATATGCAAAGATGATGTCCAGACAGTGGTTTCATAGAGCCCTTAAAATGGACCAGGCTCATTCCTTCACCTTTATATTTTATTAATAGTAAGTAATATTAACTGCTAATATATTTATCCATTGACAAGAAAATAGAATCTTTATGAATGCCTGTAATGAATTCAGGTCACAAGTCAGTCAGAAACAATGAGCAACTTTTTCCCATAGCTTGATCACCATTTCAAAATTGTTACAATAATTTACTCATCAAATTTTACTTTGCCAGACTAAATTTTTATGTATTTAACGGTTTTAAAATATAGGACATAATTTCCCTCCCTTAGGTTATGAAGAATTATATAAACATGGTTAAGAAATTCATCACTTTCATCACATGCCACACAATATTTGCAAATTTATGGCTCAGATTCAAATGAAAATATTAAATTATGATAAATATATTCTTCTTTCTCTCAAGTTCATAAAGACAGATTTCGTTACCTTCAGAATACTGGTCATAAAGACTGATGAACCCATAAGAATAAAAATCATAAGCCCTGTAACCCTTTGCTCCCGAATGCCGAGAAATTTGGGTTGTTCTCCTGGAGCTGAACATTCTGATTCCAGTTTTAGGCTATTGACATGAGTGATGGAGAGGACTGTGGCAGCCACAAACCATGGCAGGCCCATGATGGAGCATACACCGAGCATGACAGCCACCATTAATAGGTCCAGATGGTACCCACAACCTTTCTGTTTAAAAAAGAAAGAAAGAGAGAAAGAAACTGTGTCAACAACAGGGCTAAGGATGGCCTGACTGCGAATAGAAACCACTTCCTGATGATACTCAACAAGCCCTTCATATCAGATCTCCTGGAGTAAACTCTTAAACAAACATTCAGTTTCCAATTGCCCTCTTTTGTCTCATTGGGTGACTTTTATTAGAAAAAAAATAATATCATGGAGCCTAAGCTCCCCTGTATAGTCATTTTTTTCCTTAATATAGTGCTATCTTGTTCTAAATTGTTTAAGTTTCAACACTAGACAAATTAAGCCCCTCCTTAGAAATCACAGTTTTTTGTTTTCTATTTCCTCTGTTATGCTACTCCACTGTCAATAACCTCCAGGTGTTGCAAACTAAGTGCTTCCTAGACCCAGGTAGGAAATGTAAAGGAGGAAAAATAGGTGCAGTGGGGTGTGTGGAAACTGCCCTCTTGCACAGACAGGGTGCTCTCGGAAGAGGGAAATCAAAGATCGGGAAGAGCACTCCCTCCATACCCTGTAGGAACCAAAAGTGTAGAGCCACAGAAGCAGCCAAAGGGTTGGCCTACTTTATGTTCCACCTTTCCTTTGTAATTTTTAGTGACTGCTTCATGAGAGGCAGTATAATAAAGTGGTTAAGAATATAAGTTCTGGAGTCAGACTGCCTGGAATGAAATGCTAGCTCAACCAAGAAATCACTTAAGCTCTTGTGTCTCTTTTTCCCTATCTGGAAAATGATGGTGATGATGATAGTAGAGGGCACCTCACTGGACCGCTGTGATAACTAAATTAGTTAATGTTGTAAATAATTTAGAATAATATCTGTTGAATAGAAAGCGACCAGAAAATGTTAGGTACTATTATATTGTAATGGTTAAGCAATAAATGTTTCTTTTGTACTCATTAGGTTTCAAGGCTCCTTAATAAAACTATTAATATGTTTCTTAAGAGCAGATAACTTATATAACTTCTCAGTATTTCCTCTTGTTTTTAGCACAATCATTGGCACACAATAAGCAATCAATAAAAGTTACAAATTGACTTTTTTGAAAATAAAATATGCATCAAACTTTTCAGAATCAAATTTAGTAAGTGTAATTTTAAAATAAATACAGCAGTTAAATTTGTTATTATGATCATGAGCAGAAATTACCAATTCTTCTAGGAGAATAATAGTCTGTTTTTTAGCGGTAGTTTTATATAACTTCAAGCAGTTTGCAGTTAATATGAAAGCTCTTATAGCCTGGAGTGTGAAACACACTGTTGCATATTTGTCTGGTAGTCTTTCTCTGTGATTTTGTTTTCTTAGTAACAAGCTTCTTAAACTCAGTTGTACTTTCTTTCCTATCTGCTCATCCCTTCCAAATTATAAAAGTGCAAGAGATGATAGTGAGGAGAAAATGAGAGTTATGTACCTAAGGACCTGTTCCTCCTATGTTGGCAACAAAGCAGTGATACCCTTCATTGGCTCAGCTTACTGGGGCAATGCTACAATTCACCAAAATGTCTAACTCAATTTCCTGAATGAATATGACTCTGGAAACTTTTCTTTGCAAGTAACTCAAAAAAAATTTGATTAGTAAGAGCTGAAGAGTAGGAAGAGAAACTGCCTGGTGTCAGCTTAATCAAAAAAGCATAGGAAAAAGCTTTGCCAGGACCGTAATATTGTACCTTGGCCTTTTGTAAAACATTTTGGAAGGTGTAATTCCATAGAATAGAACTCAGATTTTGGTCCCTTTAAAGGACAACGTCTTAAGCAGCTTGAGAAGTGTTTTGTCCTAGCAACTCTGGAGGGAGAAGGATGTAGAACAGTGAAGGACCTCATACTTAAGCCTCTGCCTCTAAGGTAGTACAATGTGAATGCTGCTCCCTTGGAGTTGTTTTGCAAAATTGTGGTACTGCTAAGAGAAAACGAAAGATGTAAGAGGAGCTAGTGGCTGTGAGATGAACATCAGAGGAGGGCAGAAGACAGGGGACCTTGAGAGTCAGGCTTGTACTTTTTAGCACACCTGGAATTTCTCAGAGTCCACATTCACTACAGCTCAATAATATGAGGGAGACCTTCGTCATGATAGTGATTTCCAATAGCTCTTATTGAATGTTTAAAAAATACGATACAAATGTAAACACTCGGATTCTGAATTGCAGGAAGTGGGCAAAATAATTCTTTCAGAGGAAATAATTTCTTTTCTGAATTCATAAAGCTAGCTTTGTAATGTATAAATATATAACAAAAACAAAAATATAATTTCCCCTAATTATGCTGTACAACAATGGGAGCATCTTGATTCAATGTAAACCAAAGGAAATAAATAAAGCACTTCTTGCTCTTCCCCTAACTAACCAGTATCCTTCTTGCCTTTCATTTAAAATGTCTTTAAAAACTTGGACTTTGTAACAAAATTATTAGCTGATAGGCATGCCAGCCAAAGAGAAGTACCCCTTTGTCAGAGAGAGAACTCTACACCTTCTAACATATTTCTGTAGATTTTTTTCTCAAATAAAGACAGAGCTAGAGCTTTTATTCTCACATTCATCCATGAATCACAGGAAATGGACATATGGGAGGAAAAGGGAGCATAGCAACAGGTGATGCTACACCAGACCCCACTAAAACCAACATGCAGCAAGACAAGAGGCCAGCCAAGAGGACCATCTGATACCCAGATGCCACTGCTGAAAAAATTCATTTCAAAGCTTGGCAGCAATTTCCTGCATCTGTCAAGTTAACCACATAAAAGACTATAGATTGACATGAAGAACCAGGCTGACAAAGAGGGCAAAAAAGAACATATCAAATGCCATAATCATCAAGAGAATATGGTGCCAAATGAATGTTGCAAATGCATTCATTTACTCAAGTGATCCGGGATTGTATTGCTGTTTATTAAAAATGATGTCAAAAGAAGCCTGAACTGTCTACAGAAACATGTAGAAAAGCCCACAGTTGTATCTTAACAGAAACTTTCTTTTTTATAAGATTATATCTCTCTTTTCACATTTAGAGAATGTGCTTTAAAAAACCCAAGTAGATATTTTTAATGCTTTTCAAAGGGATTCAGTTAACTTATGCCTAATCCACTTCTCCAAGGGAGAAACAAACAAACAAACAAACAAACAAATGCTAGAGAGAGTATGGATTTATATGTACATTTATGTATAATATACATGATACTTCACATTCTCAAATTTTTATATTTGCCTCTTCTTTCACTCTGGAGCCATCCGAAGGATAACAGAATGCAATGAGTTCGAGTTTTACTAATTTTGAGCTCCCGCATTCTTTGGGAGTAGTAAGTCACCAATACAGTGCAGCACAGCTTTATTGTGTACATAGTGACACTCATGAAATGATAAAAACAGTTTTTTTGTTTGTTTGTTTTTTTGTTTTTTTTTTTTTTGAGACAGAGTCTCACCCTGTCGCCCAGGCTGGAGTGCAATGGTGCAATCTCAACTCACTGCAACCTCTGTCTCCTGGATTCAAATGATTCTCCTGCCTCAGCCTCCCAAGTAGCTGGGATTACAGGTGCCCACCACCACGCCCAGCTAATGTTTGTATTTTTAGTAGATATGGGGTTTCACCATGTTGGCCAGGCTCGTCTCTAACTCCTGACCTCGTGATCTGCCTGCCTCGACCTCCCAAAGTGCCGATATTACGGCGTGAACCACTGTGCCTGGCCAATAAAAACATTTTTATCAGCATGAGAAATATCGTCTAAAAGAAAACCAGCTACTAGTTCTGGCAATAGAGGTGAAGAAAAAGTAAAAAGATCTAAAATATGTTTGGGAGAGATAAAGAATGAAAAGAGGAATTCTGAGTTGATTTGGGTGTATGTAGACTTAGATACATGATGTGGAGTCTACCAAGTGTTTGATACACAAACTACAAAACATGATTCATTAAACAATTTCGGGGAATGCTCCAACCAAGGCAAAAATGGGTTTCTCAAGTGAGAAAAGAAAATTAGTAAAAGCTGAAAATGCTTTCACAAGTGGTTAGCTTGTGGTCTGGTGATATACTCAAGAAACACATCTTTTAGTGAAAATGTGGTTCAAGTCAAAGCCAGGAGACTGCAAACATTTCAGTGAAGTGGGGAGAAGTACTATGGAACAAACTGTTACTCTGAGTAAATAACATTCTGAGAAGGTGATTTTGTTGTTGTTAACGGGAAACCCAGTAGCATCAGACCACACTCTACAGAAGCTTAAGGAGGTAAGAGTTGTAGGCCCAATAGGGATTCAATGTAGACAAAATACATCTTCACTGGAAGAAATTTGCTTTTAAAGTATTCATATCTAAGGAGGAGGATGGAGAGTTCCGATTCGCAGTGGCCAAGAACGGGCTGACTCTTCTGCCTGTGGCCATATAGCAGAGTTTATGATTAGCCAGATTTGCTGTCTCACTTACTAAATCCAGAGTAGTAAGGGGCAAAAATATGAAACTTTTGACTACATAATCATTTCTTTGCACAATAAAACAGATTTAGTAATGTAGCCTTAGGTTTATTTCAGTGACAAAAATAGTTCTAGTTCTGCATTTAATTCTATAAATGCAAGTACTTGAAAGGACCACTTGAAGAATGCTTTATTACATTTTTGTTATTCCACAGTATATGTGAAGGGGGAAATTAGTGTATTTGTCAATGTGGAGCTTTGGAAAGGCTGTGAATGTCAAGGGCTCATGAAGAACATGGAGTAAGAGCAAGTGCCATGTGATTTATAAGGTTGAGGGCCCAGGAAAGGGCAAAGATTCAGAATGGCCAGGAAGGTAATAACAATCTCAGCACACATTTCACTTCCACACTTTGTTTTAATATGATTCCACTTACAACAAGAAAAAAATGCTGCCTGAATCCATTTAACTGATGGCCCTTACAAAGGATAATTTTTTCAGTGGACTCACTAGAATTTCTGCCTAATTATGAAGGCTATAAAAATCTTTTTTGAAAGGTAAATAATAATTATATGGCTTACTTTCTTCCTAAAACAGTTTTTTAGTTGATTTTTAAAAATGTGTCATTTAATAAAATACATAAAGTTGTGAGAATTCTGAAGTTACATTCTACAAAGAGAATGAAGAATGTCCTTTGCTTTCAGACACACATTCTCTCCACCATATACTCAAAATTCCTTCTTCATAAGATTTATTGCAAATAAGTGTGCTTTCTTACATTTATGTTATTATTGTTATTAAAAGCAATGGCAAAAACCGCAATTACTTTTGCACTAACGTAATATATTGCATCAGAGTTTAATCAGAGATTTTTTTCATCTTTCTAACATTCTTACAAAAGAAATCCTATAAAGCATGATTTCTGTTGCTCTGACAATGATTTTTTTCTCCTAGAGTTTAAAGGGTATGTGAAAATAGCTGGCAATTTCCCCATGATACCAAAACAAAAACAAGATTGTGCATGTTCTGTTTTTACAAGGTTTGATGCAGATTATTTTTAACCATTTAATGATTTCATTGACTTTATTTAACATATTCCTGAAAGTAAGTGATAGTGCTTACATTACAAATCTCAGGCAAATTGCATACCAGTGAACAATTTTGATTATTCACAACTGAAAAATGGCAAGGTCAGAATGTAACCAAGACACATCTATATTTACTTATTCTTTTTATAAAAGAGACAGTGAAATCTGCAATAAAACTCAAAGATGTCACTTCCAAACTGTGACGTTTATGTCTGGATTTTGTTGTTATAGGCAGAAAGAAAAATAATTAAAGAAAATAAGAAATAGTTGAAGTTGTAATTTATTCTGATAATGAATTAAATGTAATAGATACATTTAGGGTTAAATAGAGGAATAGAGGAATCTCAGATGTAAGACAAGTTGGTATGGTTGTACTTCACCAGAACAATTGTTATTTCACTAAAATATGCTAAATATGGTAAAGTTAGAACTTTGACAATGTTTTTTTATTTTATGCCTTGGAGGTGAGTTCTCAGACTTGAGCTCAGCCAAGTGCTACAAATAAGTAAATTCTCAAAGCATTGTAAGACCAAGTATCTTGTAAGACAATAAAAATTATACATACAAATGAATAAGAATACAGGAGAAGTCAAATGAACATCAGTTAATATCAGTTAAGTCATAATGATTTACATTAAAATGAATGTTAAAATATACCTTTAGCTTATGTTCTTTTCTGTTGATGATGACAGCTGTAATCTGTTGGTCCATAAAAATTAGGATAGTACAAAGCAGAGCTGGAATTATAGCAGCTATTACTGTCCACCATGGGTTTGGACCTAAAGGTGTAACAAACCAGCCACGATCATCTCTGGTGGGCTGTATAAAGTAAAGGATGTGCGTAGTTATGAACTGGATTAATGAATACTTGATCAAATTAAGTCTTACAGATGCTACCAGGAAAGCCATAATTATAAACAGAGGAGCTGAGTGGGCTACAATAAATAATAATAATACTCATAAAGCACTTAAAACCATTTTAAGTGCTTTAAATATTTTAACTCATTTTTTTTTCTTCACAACACTCTAAAGATGACACAGAAAAGAAAATTGAGGCATAGAGAGATCCAGTAACTTGCCCAAGATCTCAAAGCTAGTACGTGGTAGAGATGGGATTTAAACTCTGACAGACTTGTTGAAAAATCTGTGTTCTTAATCAATACCTGTATTAAATAAAATAATATCAATATTTACCATTAACTATTGGAAAATGTATTGAAATTTACAAATAGCACATTAACACATAGAACGCTGTTCTAGAACTGAGATACAAAGATAAATCAGAGGCTTCTTTCAGTTTAGAATCAGAGACAGACATCTAAACAGAATACATCATTATGGTATTGTAACTGTTATTTTTGATGTGCAGAGGTTATTGAGTGAAAATGGAAAAAAAGATACTTGGTCAGAGCAGAGGCTCAGGGAAGGGTTCCAAACATGACTGCTGTCTGAGATGATTCTCAAAATTTCATCCTGACAAGAGTCCTATATAGAAGTCCCCAGCCCTGTTTGACAGAGAAAACAAAGGAGCACTCCTAATCTGAAAAGCTGAAATCTGAAATGATCCAAAATCTGAAACTTTTGAGCACTCACATGATGCCACAAGTGGAAAATTCACACCTCACTTCATGTGATAGGTCACATATATTATTAAGTACAGTGTATAAAATTACTTTCAGGTTATATGTATAAGGTATATAGGAAACATAAATAAATTTTGTGTTTAGACTTGAGTCCCACCCCAACATACCTCATTATGTGTTTGCAAATATTTCAAAATTTGAAGAAAAAAAAAAAGAACTCTGAAACACTTCTCATCCCAAGCACTTTGGATAAGGAATGTTCAAACTGTACCTCATTAGTAACACGGTCAGAATTCTATTTCCAATCTATTTTTATCTGTTTTTCAAGCCTTGTTCACTGTACAATTCTGCCAAGATAATCCTTTTCTCTTAGTTTCAAATGCTTCCTTATATTTTAAGAATGTTATATATATATATATATTTCAACTGTCAGAATTGACAGGAAATTTTTTCAAGTAGTTTTTATATTTATAATTATTTATATTTTGTAATTCTTATTTTTTTAAACATTAGACCCCAATTTTAGCCATGCTGTGTGCATTTCATTTACTGCTCTTCTAATCTAAATTCTTTATATTTTCATGAAAATCCTAAGTACTAGGGTTATAGGTATCATCTAAATGAAGATTAGACCGAGAGAGATGGGGAGAGGGAGAGAGATAGTAAGTGTTATGATAAATTCACCTTGAAAACACTTGGTACTTGTAGTTTTGGAGATGGGATCCCAATGGCATAGTCAATTAAAACCATACACAGAATTGTAAGAAAGACAGCAAAGTCACTCACTATGGATCGAACCTAAAAATAATGAAAACACTTGTCACTTAAAGTAGCTATAAATATCAAGGAATACTCAGGAACATAATCTAGAGTCACACTTTATAAACACTTTATGACATAATATCATAATATTATATTTTATGCATACTATAAGATTACCATTAGCTCTGTCAGAACCTGAATATATATTTATGTATCACTGTCGTTAAGATTGGTACACACTCAACCTTTCCAGAATGAGGCATTATGGAATAGCTACATCGTGGTTGAGTTGTTTTCAATGTTTATTTAAAATCTAACTTTATGATGAACCCATGCATGTGAATATTCAGAACACAGAATAAGGTAGCATGGGCAGAATTTGGTGGATTTTAGGGATCTCTTTCACACAGGTAACATTTTAATAAGATAAACTTGAAGTATCATAAAATAAAATTATCTGTTTTTATCAAAGAAACATAATGTTTTAGTTTATCTAGAATATAAGCATGACAGTTGGGAATGTACACAACAGAGTGGGCAAATTTAAAATTTATTCTATGTGAGCCAATTTTTAAAGCCATTTCTTATTTATAAAGCCAATTCTGAGCAAATATTCACATACAATTATTATCCAGATCTAGTCTATTTTAAGATGCCTTTATGACATACACACAAGCATACACAAAATGCTTCAGATTATTGTTTCAGCTTATAAAAATGTTTTTGTATTAATCAGACTAAGTTTTTTGGGGAAATAAATGAATCTTCCACTTTAGGGAAGAAAGTGGTGACAAAAAAGAAGCTCCTTTCGGAAGGAACAGTTCTTGAAATATTTTCCCAGAGTGGAATTTTGATCATAATCTATAGCTCATCCCTAAGAAGCTTGTTTCCTTGTTTCTTTTCCTTTTTTTAAAATTTTTTTTTGGCGGAATCAGACATTATAGGTGTTACTTTGCAGTGTTAAATATTGAACTAAGCTGTTTCTCTGTTTACTTTCCTTTCCAAATATGCAGATGCAGACGTAGTGGGTTAGGGGGAGGGACTGACGGTTTAAACACTGAAAAAGAGAATATTGTTCCAATGAGTCTTGCGGGGGCTTCCCCAATTAGAGAATGTTATATAGGCTCCTCTGAGGTATCTGTCAGGCTGGAAGAGTTCCCACTGTTCACTGGGCAAAAAAGTGACAATCAGTAATGCAGTGTGTGCTGTGCATTTCCAAAAACGTCAGTAGGAAAGTAGGAGTTGATCTGCGGGGTTTGCAGTTAGGAGAAAAGCCTGCATATGCACTCCCAGCACCTGCATCACAAAATTCTTTCTCTTCAGCCCCTCATCTCACCCCACAACTAACCTGGCAGCTCACTCACACAAAAGCCTTTCAGTGGCTCCCTTTATTACACCAATTACTCTTTCTTTTGTCCTATGTTATTTTACACTTAGATCAAGAAAATTATAGTCTAAGTACCTTGGTTGGAAAATATCTGCTAGTCTTGAACTGCTTCAGGGTGGCTGACAGAGTAACTGTGGAAAAGAACAGGATCACCGACCAAAATAGAACATCTGGAACATATGGGTGATCATGGCCACAGGCCCGTCCAACATACTCTCCATGCAATGATTTGCATTCCTGCCAGAGGAAGTAAAACAAATGGAGCTACTAAGAAAAAACCGGACACATTTCTTGCAGAAAACTAACACCTTCTGATCAATTGTAGTTCAGATGCTGAGGCTTTTCCTTTCTGGCTCTCGCAATGATTTAACAGGCTTAAATCACTGATTTAACGCAATGATTTAACATTACGACTTTCAAGTTCAACTTGGATGGGTGGTGAGAAATATCAAAGGTTTATGAAAAATTTGAACATGAACCACTTTTTAAATTTAAATGTACAAAACTAATTGATTTACCAATTAATTAATGTGCATTAAATCTAATACCTACTAAGTTCCTAACACCAGAAGTATTGAAAATATGACATACGTAATAGTGATTGGTTACTAAGGTCAGACACTATGCCCAGCTATTTAAATACATCATTTAAATTACTTTTCACACCAATCCCATAAAATAGGTTCATGTTATTATTTATATTCCATGTCTGAGGAAACTGAGGCATAGAGGGGTTAAATAATTCGTTGTGGCCTCACCACTGGTGGGCAGCCGCAGAGCTGTGATACAAACACGACTTCTGCAGTGAGATTATTATTGCTTATTGACAGAGAACAATGTTTTGTAGAATTATCTAGTCCAAAAGCTGTCAAGAAAGATGAGAAAGGCAACAAGAAAACTATGACATACAATGACTGAAATGAAATTGTAAGTCAAAGATGGGACTATCGAACTTGGATTAAAGAACAAATGAGATAAAATTACTACGTGAGCAAGGCAAAGCTCATATTTACTATGACTTCTCCATGGGTTATTTTTTCTTCTGCAACTGTAGTTCTGTAAGAGCCTGAAGAATTATTTCTAATTACTGCCTTAGCCATGAGGTGGCAGCAAAGTCAAAAAAATTTTTTTTCTCCAGGAAAAACAGCATTTCAAACAAATATTTTGAAAGAAAAAAAATTATTTTAAACTTACTTTGGTTTATCTTTTTAAAAATTAGATTACTAAAGTATTTTTACATTTCAAAACAGGAAATAATGGTTTAAATGATCCAGTGATCTCATTAGTCCTTGAGATATTCTTGCCCTGAACATAAATTGAATTGCAGAGAGATCTTGGATAAAAATATAAATTCATAGATTGACCACAAACACAGAGTCTGCCTAACTTCAGGCCTGAAATCCTTGTAGAGCAAAAAGTAAATACATTCCAAAGATTGTAGAATAAATCACAAATAGCTACCCTGTCATCTGAAAACAAACAACTAGTAAAATCTACTTGGAGTTGCTAGTTACCCTAAGCCTGAGAGTCTTGAGAAATATAGTTAATATACCTTATCATTGTCTTAAAGAATCTGTCCCCTTTTCTTTTCTTTTTTTTTTTTTTGAGACGGAGTCTTGCTCTGTAGCCCGGGCTGGACTGCAGTGGCCGGATCTCAGCTCACTGCAAGCTCCGCCTCCCGGGTTTTTTACGCCATTCTCCTGCCTCAGCCTCCGGAGTAGCTGGGACTACAGGCGCCCGCCACCTCGCCCGGCTTAGTTTTTTGTATTTTTAGTAGAGACGGGGTTTCACCGTGTTAGCCAGGATGGTCTCGATCTCCTGACCTCGTGATCCGCCCGTCTCGGCCTCCCAAAGTGCTGGGATTACAGGCTTGAGCCACCGCGCCCGGCCCCCTTTTCTAATTTAACTGCAAACATCTTCCTTAATAGGCAAAGTTAAATTCCAATTATTCATGTTAAGCTAATGCAGAGCACAGCAACTTGGCTAATTGAAAAACCACAGAAAAATCCCCCAGGCCTTAATTAAAGTTTTAATTTTCCTTCTTTCAAAATGCTGTAAAAATAGATAAGGTGGCAAAAATAAATCCTTGTGTTTTTCTTCCTCTTCTGCACCTGTCCAGAAATGCTAGCAGAGCAATTATTAAGCAATATAATGGGTAGCAAAATGGTTACATAGAAAAAGAGCTAAAAGTTCCATGATAAACACATTATCTATAAATTTGTGAGCATCTTTTGTCATTTCTACAGGTATAAAAGTCATTTGGTGGGATCTTGTTCTCAATTCTTAAGAACATAGATGACATTTAAAGGATCCCTTAGCTGTCTTACACTCTATAATTTGCCAATGGCCTGCCTAGTTACATTAATTTAAAGCATATTTAAAAATGTTATTTATTTTCTCTTTGGGGGTAAACAAAATGCTAACTTTAAAAAAGAAAAATTGTGACCTGCTAAATTCAACATTTATTTTCAGTTTTATACGAATTGTATCCCCAACACACACACGGAGGCACACACACATGCACACATACATACATGCACACATACACACAGAGTAAGTCCTGAAATTTAGAAATGAAAACCAAATCCAAATCCTGCTCTCTTCTTTTGAGTCTAACATATGGTTTCAGTTACAATGGGTACTCAAAAAATGCTTGTTGACAAACTGATTTCTACTAATTACTCTTCAAACACATTCTAAGTTTCAGCAATTCTATAAGTTGGCAAAAATTAAGTTAGATGAAATAAGAAATTAAAGTTGGCATTAGTGTCCTGCCCCTTATATATGTACAAGCTAAATATGTAATTCAGGCAACAAAACACCAAACGCTGGTTAACTGCTTATGAATATTTTAAATCGTGCCTAAGGATTTCCTATAAAGGCTGATTTTTGAGATCATATATATACACACTTAAGTACTCTAGCTTGCCATAAATATTTGCATTAAATAGTAAGATGAAACTGTTTCAAAACAGACATTAAGTACTTTTATCAAATGTTTAACACTTACTATGCATAGAGCAGTTTGGGAGAATCAAAGAAAGCTAAAGTTCTTTGCCCTTGCTGAGTTGGCAAGGTATAAATTATAATTCATGAGATATGTAACAACTCAATGAAACATTACAGGACCTGCCAAATAAATAATATGTAAATTAAATGTTATATCACTATTTTAACAAAATTAGTTATAAAAGCCACTAGTTCAGTGCTTTATTAATAAAATATTTTTGATGACAGTATGAACATATTCAGGAAAAAGTCAGCATAAAAATTAGACAAAAATTTTAATGGTCTTTTTTTTTACTTAAACATTACAAGATTGTTTTCCTTATATAGTATTCCCTCTGGTGATAAAGACTGTTTCTGGTCAAGATTAGCAATTATCCATTGCAAAAACTGCTTTTAACTAATGAAAAATAATATGAAAATTTCTGCCTGAATGTTAGCACCTAGTACAAAACTTTTTAAAATGACAAAGAGAAAAAAACCAACAACCCCACAATGCTGTGTTTGCTTCAATTGTAAAATATTTTTCACTATTCTACTTGACCTTAAAACTTACGGTATCTAACTCACAGCTAGCCTGATAACTGTGCTGTATGTCTGCTTCTTAGAACTCTAAAAATTCAGAAGTTTCTAACACATAGAATGAATATTATTATTTAGTATTAAATTATTCACATAACACAAAATACATATAGAAAAACTATCATGTTATATAACTTAGAGATGGGATCATTTGGGTTTTCATATTGAAGAAGACATCAAGAGGCTCTGTAAACATAATATAGTCTACCAAAGAAAATGTAGACAGAAGACCCACTACTGATTTCATTAATCATGACCCCATGTCTAAATTCTGAATAACTATAGCATTTTTTTTCTTGATCAGCTCATCAACTCTTTTATTGTTCAGTTAAAATGGCTCTTTGAGTGGAAGCAGCCTGGCGATGTTATTTTTCTAGGAAAAAATAGGTGGAACTGAATAAATGTTAACAATAACAAAACAACAAGAGTAACTGAAGGCTTATTCTACAGAATACAATTAGGGTAAGAATAGAAGTAGTAAAATATAGGCCAAGATAGAATTTTAAATAAAGAGTAAGTAATTTGATTTCAATTTTGAAAGAACATGTTCAATAGAGAAAATCAAGAAAATAGTCAATAGATCATATGCTCTTTACAAGAATCATGTTTAGAGTTTTATAATATCTGTACAACAAAAAAGATTTCTATGTTCCCTAACTGGACCATTTACTAAAATAGTATGCATTTGATCAAATAGAATAGAACTCATATAGTTTTTTGCTGATAGTCATAATAAAATTTGAGCCTATATGGGTAGGTAAAGTGGCAGAAGGTTTGAACCTGTAATGTTTATAACTGGGAAGAGTAGAAAAGAAAGTAGGGCTACTCAGATTTTAATACTTATTAAAAGCAGAACACATTTTCAAATTACAAGATTTTATTGAACCAGAAGTATAGAATGCAAATATTGATAGGTAAAGAGGCACAGACATTATAATAGATTCAGAAAAATAGAGAAATGCAGGTATGAAAAGAAAGAAATTACAAAGCAGAGAAACGCCAAAGGAAGTAAGACAATGGCACAGGATTTAACTGTTATAGGTGAAAAATATGTTGCCATGCCCTTTCTTGAGTGGGAGATAACAACAAAATGGAAAAAAGAAATATCTTGTTGAGGGAGGTGCCGGAATTTTGTGAAGAAAAGTGATATTTGTTCCTCCCAAAGACTTTAGTATTGACACTAGAATATTAGAAACATCCCCTTCCCCCCAGCAGATCTGGAACAGCTGGAGCAGCATTACAGAGTAAAGTAAGAGCATTCTGAGTTCTTTACACAGAAGGCAGACTTAGTTCTGCCATATGGTTTCATTTAGGTCAACACCACTCATATTTAATGTGCTTTCAGTCCATCTCAGTCACATCATTCTGTATAAATGAGCTTTTTGAGCAATTCTGGTCTTCTATTACAACAACCTTAATAATGAAAGATAACCCCAGTTTACTGATGAGCATCTGAAATGATGAAATTAAAATTCAAACACAACTATTAGTTTTATAATATTATGCATTCAAACAAATTTTACTGTAATGGCAATAATTGAGTCACGATGTCAACAAAACCTCTTAGGTATGACTTAATTTTCAATGTTTTACTTACTGACACAGTTAGATTCTCCCATATTATGTCAGAGGCAGAAATATTGGATTCCCTCCATTCCTTCAATGTATCATTGCTGGGATTATGCGGTTCCACACAGTTACACCTGAAAAGGCAAAATAGTGTCTTTTGTGAAATAAGTAGCTTTTTGTGACTGTACCAAAGAATAATGTATAATGGCTCCATTTTCTCCAGTCACAGCATTCCTCTATTTGACAGACAAGTAGTTAGGTTATCCTGAACTACTCCACAACAGACTATTTTCAAAAATCAAGAAGGATGGACTGTTAGGATACTAGACTACTCTACAGTGTTTCCTGGAATGAGAGCTCCTTAAGACACCCATTTGGCCCTAAATTATAAGTCAAATAGAAAAATGATAAATATCCAAATCTACTGTCACTATGTAGTTAATATTGTAAAATCATATCAATTAAAATTAAAGGGGGTATTTAATTCATATTCTGAAGATCATTTATAACTGGCATATAATACAAAATTAAGGTTGGCTGAAGGGAGAACTCTAGGTAACTGAGGATAAATCAATGAGAAGAAGATATAGACAAAGATACCCACAAATTAATAGCCTTAGAAGTGAACTTTAATTTACAGTTTGTTTTCCAAAAATTCATTTCTAAACTTGCTATTTGCCCTTCAGAAAGCATTTTTGTATAGAAGAATTTAATAAATGGTGGTTGGTCTCCCAGATTAACCCACATACACCACATAACTTGTAAGTTCATTGGACTATTCTTTCAGTGATATTAATTGTACTATAGAACCGAATTGCCATTTCTAAGGTTATTACTATAGAAAAATATCATATAGTTTCTACTTGGTCTGCCTAAGCAACAGTCTTCTGCCTTCTACATCAGGAACTTAGTCTGTTTCACTTTACCACCACTTATTCATTCTTTAAATAGTTATTGTCTATTACTGCAAACAAACAAACAAACAAACCTGAGTTGGGCAGTACAGACAGATATGGTTCTTGCTCTCACTAGGGAAATTGGAGGATTCCCCAGGGAGGCTCACTTGGAGACCCCAGAGAAACCTTAAAAACTGAGCTCCTGTCCATGACGGAACAGTAGGTCAGCCACACCCAGTTACACCCCCTATCTTGCTAACCACCAGTAGGCTTTCATTCCTAAGGGTTAAACAGAAACAAGCTCTTCTGAAAGACTTGCTCCATGGCTGATTTCAATCAACCATGTTACACTGCCCCTTGCTTTTTGTAGTTTCGACACAGCAACTGGCTAGCATTCCTTCCTGATAAGAGACCACTGAACATGGAGTGGTTCTGGCCAGTTTATGGAGACTGCATGCTGAGTCCCTTCATGTCCTCTGCTTCACCTTTTGACATATAGAGCTTAATTTTAGTACATTTAAATGTTGTTTCCACCACGAAGTGAACATGGGACATATGTAACAGACATGTTAGCTTACTACACGTGTGCCCCTTCATGAATATTCATAGCTCCTCCTATAGTCGATTGAATATGTATGCTAAACCAATCCATTCAGTATGAATTCCTGTTTCATTTTTCCTCCTTCGAAGCACCTGCTTTTCAGTTTTAACCAGAGGCTCCATTTCCCACTTGCAGGTTGTGATACCCCCTTTTAGAAATAAAGCTCTCCTCAGTAGATTTTGCTACTTTTTCAGTAGACATTATAAAAAGAAAAAAAAATTTAAACGTGGAATGATTTTGAGCCTCTGGTGAAATGTTGAAAAGGAGAATTCATTTGATTGTGAAGTTAGGAACATTGTTGTTTTCTTTCCTTCACTATGTATTTTTCGAGTTATTTTCTTAGTGGTTGCTCTAAGGCTTATCACATATATCCAGCTATTCTGTTCTAGATTGTTCTGTTGTTTTTTACAATGTCCTGGGACATAAATTGCTCTGGGGGTCTGCTCCAATTAAATTCCAGCCTGTTTGCTGCAGTAGCCTCTTGTTTTTTATTTTTAAAATATAGACAGGGTCTTGTTATGTTACCCAGCCTAATCTCAAACTCCTGAGCTCAAGTAATCCTCTCACCTCAGCCTCCCAAAGTGCTGGGATTACAGGTGTAAGCCACGGTGCCCTGCCTGCTGTGGTCAGTGCTTGAGGTTTGTTCTGACCCAGGAGGGTTCTTCTTAGCTATCTCTTTTCCTGATTCTCTCTCATACACTAGCTGATCTAGTTTAGCTTTTCTTTCATGAAGCTACCAACCTCCTCTTAATTGCTTTCCACCAGAACTTACATTATTTGTGAGAATACCTTTATCTTGAACTTCCCTTTACTCTGCTTCAAATAAAGTTAGTTCCTTTGCAAAGAGCTTCAGTGCTCCCACTGGGGAAAATCTCGGATGCATGGCTTCAGAACTAGGGATGGGGACAGCATTGTGTTCCTCTGTAAGTGACTCCCCTGCTTTAGGAGCAGGGAGCTGAGCATGGGCAATAATCAGAGCCTCATTAATTATTGAGAACCCATACTATTCTCAGTGTCTCAGGCCTGAGGTTGAACCGCCACCCTACGGGTAGGAGCTGGGTGAGAGAAGGAAGCCCCAATCTCTTGGATTCATCTAGCCAGAATTTAGCTTCTGGAGGGGAAGGGTGAAGAGAGACAAGAAATGCTGTCAGCCTTCTCCTCTTGGGAACATACAGTTGGCCTCAACTGGAAGCTGAGGAAGCCCTGTGTTCTTGGCCAAACTTGCCCAGAGTTAAGCTTCTGTCATGCTGAGCTGGGAGGAGAGGAAGGGAAGTGGGTTGTGACTCAAGTGCCTCGGACTCATTGTTCTTACCAAGATTTAGTACACTTTTTGGAATAAATGTTTCTTCATTTGCTGTATACCCTTAAGAAAATTTCCAGACTTTTCATGATTGCCTTTTAAAATTACTTTAACCAGTACAGTTGTTTCACTGGGGAGAGGGTCTGCCGAGCTTCTTATACCACCATTCTGGAAGTATATACTCATAACATTATTTGTAAAGTGCTACAGAAGTCATGACACTGGAGCCATGGAGAGGGAAGCACTGCACATTACTTGGTTCTACAGTAAATAATACTTACATAATTATAATTACATAAAGATTTCTACATTTTTAAATTTTTTAGAATCAATCTTTAGGCAAATTACTTAACACATACCCATGGTTACAAAATAACATATGTTAATAGCCATTACAATAGAGCCGGGGGTGGGGATGTAGAAGGCGAAGAGAATATTGGGAGGAAAAGTGAGAATTATTCATCTCCTCTTACAAAGTAGAATGTAAAGAGAGTTACCTATGGCTGATAGAATCAGAAATGGAAATCTACATATGTTATTTGTGGCTATTTATTTATAGCTACAGAGGTTACAGGGATGATGGAACTTAAGATGTGATATTATCATATTGAAAAGGGAGGTAGAGTGAAGAGGAAGGCTGGGGATGAGTGTAGAAAATTAGCTAAATCTGGTCAGGTGCAGTGGCTCGAGCCTGTAATCCCAGCACTTTGGGAGGCAGAGGCAGGCGGATCACAAGGTCAAGAGATAGAGACCATCCTGGCCAACATGGTGAAATCCTGTCTCTACTAAAAATACAAAAATTAATGGAGTGTGGTGGCAAGCGCCTGTACTCCCAGCTACTCAGGAGGCTCAGGCTCAGGAGGGAGAAGCACTTGAACCCAAGAGGCAGAGGTTGCAGTGAGCAGAGACTGCACCACTGCACACTCTCCCTGGCGACAGAGCGAGACCGGTCTCAAAATAAAATAAAATAAAATAAAAATTAGCTAAATCCATATTTATAAGAGCAAAAAGTAAATTTGTCACACTTAACATTGGTAAAACAAGAAATAAAAATATAAGCATATTATTTAGAAATTTAGAGGGATCACTAAAAATAATTTTAAAAAAAACTTTATTAAAAATGTTGCCTTTGAGTGAACTGGTGCTTTTAATTATAATCTTCCTGTACTATTTGTGGGGTTTTTTTCCCCCAGGATGTGTATGGACTATTTTGATAACAATAAAATGTACTTGAAAAAAATAATTAGTTCTTCTTGTGTCAGCCCTAAGTTTGTTTTCTCATTTCAGAGTGTACAAATTATCTCAAAATCTCTCTTATATTTGCTTTGTCTCTTTTTTTCTCTTCTAAAAGTTTGAAAAGTTTGCAATCATGGGAAAACCAGTTGAATATTTCTTTTGTACATACCATGCCCTCCTCAATGAGAATTATATGCCCAAGATATTTGGATTATTTTCAACAGCAGAAGGCAGCCTAGCATGTTATAGGTTATAGATTATTATTATCGATAATAATATAAATTATATAATAATTCTTATATTTATTATATAATAAATACTATTATAGATAATAGTCTATAATCTATAATTATAATCTATAATAATAATCTATAAATATCAACTATTATACACAACCTCTGATGCGATTTTGCATGTAATGAATCTTCACCATTTGTATATAAACTGTGAACTCAATTGCTGCATTGGAACAGTCTGACAGAACTGATCCCAGGCAATAGGCCTTGGTCCATAGTCCTCAGACTTCCAAATAAAGCTAACTTTTAAAAATGTAACTAATTAATTTTGGAGACAGGGTCTCTCTCTGTCTCCCAGTCTGGAGTGCAGTGGCATGATCTCAGTTCACTTCAACCTCCTCCTCCCAGGTTCAAGCGATTCTCGTGCCTCAGCTTCCCAAATAGCTAGGACTGCAGATGATCGCCACCATGCCTGGGTAATTTTTGTATTTTTAGTACAGGATGGGGTTTTGTCATGTTGCCAGCTGGTCTCCAACTCCTGGCCTCAAGCAATCTGCCTGCTTCAGCCTCCCAAAGTGCTGGGATTACAGGCAAGAGCCAATGTACCTGGCCTGAAACTTTAAAAGCTTGATTTTTTTTTTCTTTAGTCAACAGGGCTTCAACATATGAATGTGGGTGGGGTATGGAGAAAAATTCAGTCTATAACAATAACTCCCTGTTCTTTACTTCTCCTCCTTAAGACAGAGTAACCTTCAAGTAAGCCTCCACTTTAGGCTGTGCTTTCAGGGGAACCTAGATTGCAGTAAGTTTTGTTCCACGTGTTTGGTAACATTGAAAGCTTAGGCATCTAGGCATTATGCACAAT